CTCTCTCTCTCTCTCTCTCTCTCTCTCTCTCTCTCTCTCTCTCTCTCTCTCTCTCTCTCTCTCTCTCATGACGCGCCGTATAAATTTTGCTGCGGCTACGCTGTTATAACGACGTTACACGTTAATACACTTGTACAACAGTATACAGTGAGCATAAAATAATTATCTTAAAACTCGTTTAACGATGGCGACGTTTAACCCTCGCAATCCTACGGACGCAATCCTACTAATTGATGTAATTATCGGCGTTTTTCCGGATTCTTCGCGCTTTTGTCTGCTGGTTTTTCGTCGAGCAGCGTGCAGGTTTAATTTCCTTCGTCAGTGGTAATGTGATATTTGGTATGGTAATGTGATATGTGGTAGCGCGATATTTTTCAGAGAAATTCAGAAATGTTCAGTTTGATGGTTTCACATTACGATTTAAGTATAAACAGCTGCGTGCGTAACACAGTTAATGAATAATTATGAAATTACAAGGCCGACTCGTCCGAGAAAAAAACTCTAGTTGGTCAAAGAAACGTATAATGACGAGAAGAAATGCGATCGAATCCTGAGGGCGCTTGTGGTATTCCTACATCTCTCCTTATTAAGCTAGTCTTTATAATGACTCTGTGTTTACGGAAAGAATAATATTTCGTTGGCTTATAATTACGGAACACCGATTGCCTGTTGCTTCTTCGCGAAGGGACTCGAGAGCTCATATAACTTCGTTCGCAATTTTTCTCATTGGTATTCAACTCATCACTAAACCGCGACCTTTCCGCGGCGCACAAAATTGCAGCTGCAGCGACGGCGGAGAAAAAATGCGAGCGTCTGCGTCTCAATCGCAACTTGCTAGAAAAACTTCATTTCGTCGGATTTGGGCGGCGCCGTACATCTCAAAGAGCTAATTACGCCACTGGGGCTCCTTGTTCGCACGGCATTAAAGGAAAGGACAGTCGTGCTCGCGTTTTCATCGCATGTTCCGTAGCAGACAAAGAGTCAGTCCGATTTCACCGACTCTCGCAATATCCACCTTCCAGCCGTCCTACGTGCCGAGTACGCGCAGGCAGCCACGGGAGAATTCCGCTTTGAGACACTCTGCGAACTCGAACTTGATTCCGCAACGTAAAAAGCGAGTTATATAACGTAAAATTAACGCGTCTATTAGACCACTTCTATTAGACCAATAGATCGTTATATTACAAAACGACTCATTTAATTATTGTTAAACATTTAAAATAAATAAAATAGTGCACAATCATCTGGTACGGGGAACAGATATTAATAGTATCGATAATAATTGGAATAAAGGATCGGTTTTACGTGAAAGGCTGATTTGCCGGGTATGATTGATCGCAAGAAACCGGCTACGTTCTTATAGGAAGCTTGTTTATTGTGTAATGAAACCGAAAATCGAGTAAGTCGATGAAATGAGAACAATATCTCTTCAGGGAGATATCTGACTTTACGTTTAAGACATTAGAAAATTGTCAAAGCAATCTGTGAAAGTATCGATTGAGGAATCGCGCTTATGAAAGACGTACGTGTTTTGCAGATAGTGACGAAAGTGGACGGGGCGGACAGACAGGACAAGGTGTCGTCTCGCCGTTTCCCGCCGTGGTGGCAGTGACGTGATCGGCAGGGTCCAAGGGCCCATGGCCGGGAATTGTTTTCGTCAGTTCTGGTGGTGGATCCCGATCGCGATCCTATCCCGGTGTATTCTTCCCTCCTCGGCCGACAGCGGTCGTATTTCGTGCACGTCCACCTATCCTTCGGAGATAGCCCGCGAGCAACCGCAGTCCGACTCGGACGTGATAGTCTTCCTGGGCGAGAAATGCGACTGGGAGATCAACGTCACCGAGATACAGGATCATTTGGAGCGCACGCCGGACGCCGGCGAGCTCTCGATCAGCGTGATGCCGAGATCCCGTGAGTGCATTACTCGTACATCAACTTCGTACGACGTCGTATCCGAGAAAAAAAGAAACGACAACGCATGCGGGGAAAATACCACGGAGAGCTTACGCGAGCTTTCCACGTGATTTTGACAGGAAACTAATCCCCCCCTCCTCTCTCTCTCTCTCTCTCTCTCTTTTTCCCTCAATTTTATATTGCGCTATTTCAATTTTAATATTGCAGCAATCAGAAAACAATCTGTAAATTGGCTAATAGTATCATCGATCTAGATTCTCAAGCAAAATTGACGCTATAATATTGTCGTGTTTCTGACTGACCAATTTACGTATAAAGTATAACTAATTGCATATAATGTATTAACTGTATAGTCAATAGAAAGTCAATGAAACAAGCCAGTGAATATGTACACCGTGAATTATTTTTATTCCCGCCGTATTTCTTGATAATCAGTGGAAATTAGCGTGGCAATCAACGCAGCGTGGCAGTTAAATATATTTCAAGAAAACTTCGCGCATTTCTAATCCATCGATTGACTCTGTTGACGTTTGCCATTGAAACGTCCCGGTTTCTCGAATATTTCGGCTGAATGAGTGAAATCTCGACGCAAATCTGAAAAATAATACAGCACTCAACACTCCAGTGATGTGACGCTGTTTTAATATCATGTATATACGATCCGTAGAGCAACAGTATTCAATCAGATATTCATCCACAACGTGCAGAGCGACCATAATCTAATCATGTCGCGCTTCCGTTACACGATATCAAACGGCGTGAATTTGCACGCGCGTGAATAACGCGATGTTCAATAGTCCAATTACGTATTCAAATCGGAAATCGCCGAGCCGGTTACGCATCTAACGCAAATGTACCGGTCTGGTGAGGTGCGAACAGCTCTTCCTAAATGTTTACGTCAATGTCGCGGTCATTTCGCGGTTCGACAATCGAACAATACGCTCGCGACACAGCGAGATTCGTAAAGCGCGAAATTGATATTTGGACGCGACTCGAGAACCAGAGACGGCGACTCGACGCGAACTTGATGGCCCCGCGGCAGAGTCGCTAGTGGAGCTCCATATTGAGGAAGTGTCGCTAATAACATCTCCACCGTATTGTCCGCGCCATTATATCTTGCACAATCGCCGTCGACCAGGCAACGCGCGCGTACTACACGCTCTCACACCCGCATCCACACGAGGGCACACGTTTGAATAGAAGCCCGTTTCAACAGAGTAACGCCAAACACTCGTACCATATTGTTAAATATCAGCTGTAACGAGCAGGGAACGCGAGAGCATGTGGGAGCTGTCTCTTTATTAACTAGTACGGTGGAGAGGGAGAAGGAGGAGGGGAGGATGGCAAGCTTATCGAAATCGATCCGAACCCATTGAAAATTGCACCATTAAATCAATATACGTCACACAACGTGCCCCGTACTCCCGTTCGCCACGCTCGCTCGCTCATACATACCTGGCTAACAAGTTCCCGAAGTGGATGAAGCGGAATGCCGGAACGCGGGAGAACGGGCCGCATGAACGTCTCCGTTCGCACGAGGAGGAACTAATAGCGCGGCTAATTAATTCCCAGTGACGTGTGAGACGGAGACCGGCGGCCTGGGTGCGCTAATCCACGCCTTGGGTGAGAGCAAGACGAAGGCGGTGATAGCCGCGCTCGACAGCTCGATCTGCGAGGTGGCGGCCAAGCTGGCGCATCTTGGGAATAAGCCGTTGCTTACTTGGACCTGCCCGCTGGTGAGTGTTCTCTGTAATCCAACACCCTCTTGACCGTTTTCCGTCGGTTTACCGTTGAACCGGCCCTGCCATCGACTGGCGATTAAGACGCGTGCCCATCGCTTCTACGAGTCAAGAGATCCTCGGGGATACATTTGACGTGAAATATTTGAAACTGTTTCACTGATGGTGCTCGTTCCTCGCTACGCTAAAGAACTGTTAACACATTCAATAGTTTACCCGCAGAAAACACTTGGAATATCACCCAATTGAATATGGTTGCCGCAACAGAGTAATGTTATTCCGCGCCCGTATTACGCATATACATGAGGATTCACTAATTGAACGTTACATATCACAAAAACTATGACAATTGCATAAATAAGTTATATAACAACTGCAATCTTTAATGTGATATTTATTTAACTTTAAATCACATGTATTTTTTCTAACTCCGTAGAAAATGTAATTAAAACAGCCATAGCAGTTTTTCTCCAACTGACTTTTCTCATGTCAATTGGATTATTTTATATTAACACTCTCGCGTTGCATGACGATCACCTTTGTGGTGATGAGTATGTTAAGAGAAGAATCTGAAAATAACTGTCGTGTCAAAGTAACGAAATATTGTGTGGTCCGGACGCATGTCTGACCCGCATTGACTTGTTCCACTCCGGTTCGGTCAGATCATCATCATTGACCGTATAATATTTATATATATAAAATTCAGCCGTCATTGTTAATAAAAAATTGGATGAAACCTTCATTGAAACCATTGTGAATCATGAAACCATTGTTTGAGTGGTGCACGTTACATTTGACAGGCGTTGTAGCGTGTTTTATTCTGTAGAAATCAACGAAAGCCGCGTTTTATACGCGAATCCGACACGTGTTTCTCGGATCGCCGATGTCGCGCTTTGATCGCGCGTCGAATTACACATTGTAAAATAAATTGCATCGCGCTCGCGCGCACGGAATAAATTAACGCCAAAGGCCATCGCGCGAAATTCAAACGCAAACGAGAAAATAAAAGCGAGAAAGAGAAAGAACATCGGTCGCAAATTCTGCGCGCCGTTGCAGCGCGCTCGCGAAGTGTGTCGTCGGCGTTATTTAACGCACCGCGTCTTTTTATCCTGGCGAGTAGAATTGTACTGATGAAAATTTGCGCGCCCGTAAACAATCACGCGCCGTAACAATCACAATATCTAGAGTGAAATCCAGGGAGCCATAAATTCCGTCCCGACCGCAATTGATTCCGCCGAAAGACGCGAATTCAACGATGACCGTCGAACTTTCCGGCGGTATTTGAGTTGAACCCGACAAATGTTTATTCGCTTCGAACCAGATTTTTTAACTGCAGTTTCTGCATGTTCTCGCGCAGCGCACGACGTCAATCGAGCGGCTCGACGATAGAAAATGGTAACGCGGATTTTCGTCAATTTTTCCGCGATGAATCATCGTGCATAATCAATGAAATGCACCTTGCTCTCGAGTGAAACAAATGGTCACCTCACCTCACTCAAGAAACTCGTCTTTATCCTTTCATAGATCTCTCACGCGTTCTCCCAAAGGAACAGTTCTGTCAACGTTTCAGCGGATCCGACAGACAGTTTCGGATATTTCTCGGTTAAAAGCGGGATTACATTTCACAACGCCTATTCCTATCCGTTACATTTAACCTTCAACTTTCTCGGAAACTATTTCCTTCTGGCGATAAAGCTATGTAAATCTCCTTTACATATTACCGGTAAGAATTACTTCAACGTAAGACAGCGAGTTGTCGCAAAGCAGACGTTTGCAAGAGATATTTTGAGTCTTGTCTCACTATAAGAGATATGTGTAAAAAGTTCATGAATAAATTAAGCACACATGACGTATTATTAACGAAGTGAAACGAACGAGCAAGATCTTTACGACTGCCTCACTGCTTAAAATCTCGTTCTCTCCGGATAGTATTGATTTCAAGTGGACACGAGAGGAACATGAACCAGAAATACAATGCCTCAATTATCGCGTGATTAAAATTTCAGAGGTCCACAAAGATCGACTCAATTTATGTTTCAGAGAGACTTGAAGGAGAGGGATCTCTCATCGGTCATTAGGCTTTCTCCGTCATTACCATCGGTGGCTAATGCCGTGGCGGAAATATTCCTGCACTTGCAGTGGAAAACCGCAGCCATTATTGGTACCGGTAAGTCCCGAAGGAAACAATATTTCAGAACCATAATTATTACTGGCAAATCTTCTTAACGTTTAAGTAGAGTGGGATAATAATAATAAAATAGCATTACTTAAGCTTCATTCTTTTTACTTCATACTTTTTACTAAAAAATTGTGTTAGAGTTACATGGGATTTTTTTATTTATAATCGCGAATTTCAGTGTAATATTACATGTATTATGTGATTCAACGAAAAAATTCAAATCTAACTCTAAATTAAAATCTGAATATCTCATATGAGACAAATTTCAAGTGACAACTATTAATACGGGCCTTAATTTTGTTACATAAAAAAATAGCAAGAAAGAAATTAATTAAAATAAAAGTTGCAGTATGTGAGCTTTTTAAGAAATAATTCATGTTAATCGTAAAATAAGGAAATGATTCATGTTAATAATAAGCATGCGCTAAGCTGCTCACTTAAAGCTCTCGATTCACGAATGTAGAGCATTGAATGCGGCAACTTATCAGACTCGGTAACAATATCTTTTTTTCTTACACGAAGGCGGTTTTGAAACTTTAAAATATGGTCTCCCGAGTAGCAACCTATTAATATTTCCAGTCTCTTATCAATTCGTGGCACATAATGGAATTAATGTAGCACATTTCCGCACCTTCGGCACGGCCAAACTACGCGAGCGCTGCGCATACGAACGAGCCCATTTGCCGCCTCGACGTGTACCGCGCGAGAGAAGATAACGTACGATTTCTCGCCCCGTGACATCATAATGCGATTCGGCCGCAAATCGAGAGCGCGTTAAGGATTAAGTCGCAATCGCGAGCAGCGCGGCGAAAGGGCCGGGACAGTAACGGGACAGGAGTTGGCCGGCCAATCGGTCCATTAAAATCCGATTATGCGGGACGCAGCGTGTGTATTGAATTTTAACGCGTATTAATCGGATCGACTCCTCTGATACCGCAGATCGCGAGCCGTGGTCCAGCCTGGACCGCGCCGTGATCAACGCATTCCGAAGGATCGGCGTCGTCCTGCGATACCACTTGATTCTACCCCATCGCGCCACTCTCGAGCAAATCCGCAGGATCCTGAGGTCCGTGCACAGCGTCTCGCGTCGAGGTAAGTGTAAGTACGTACGCTTACCGCGCGAGCGTAATTCACGAGTTGGCCGCTAAAACTATCGAATCAAAGATTAAATTAAGTGGCGCGTTTGCTTCCTTTATGAGGCAGGGAGAGAGAGAGAGTGTGTGTGTGTGTGTGTGTGTGTGTGAGTTCCTTCGCTTTAAATCCTGTCGGAATGGAGCATATTCGCAGCAGTTCTGACGTACCGCGGTGTGAGTTTAATGGTGACGTTGTCCGCATTCGAACTGTTCCGAGGGGGTTTCACGACTTGATTGTTTAATTCCGTTTATTTCGCCGTTGCGGCGTTGCGCACAGAGCGCTTGGGGATCTGCGACATTAATTTCGTCTCATAAATTTTCATCTGTCTTGCACACTTCTTCGCTGATACGTCAAGCTCGCCGATAATTGTTTGATTTTAAGGAACGATCTTTTCTAAATTGCAACGGAGCTCCATTATTGCGTCAGGAAGAATTAACTTTGCGATTTTTCTCGTTGTTAAAACAAAGGCAGGTCTCATTGTTAAAACGATTCCCGCTCATCTCGCGTAAAGCAAATTAACGCATATTCGGAAATTTATTTCGCTCGCTCTTCAAAACAAACAGAACAAGTCGAACGTGGCGGCGTTCCGACGTGGCGCGGAGCACGAATAATTGCTGTTTACATGCGTCGCAGAAAGCGGATTTCACGGGAAATCTGTTTACACAGTTTATAGATCTTTTATCCGTTCGAGGTGGACATTGGAGTGTGGTTTGGCAAACTGAACAGCATGTAAAAGTTCAGGAAACTACACGGGGATCGTTTACCGCGCACGTTACGTGAGTTTATGAAAGGCAGAAGCTAATAACGTTTTCCAGAATCCCTCCGCCGCGCGTAAGAGATGTACGTGCGAAACTCGCCTGCGTGACGGTATGAGGTCGCTAGGTCGCGTACGCCGACCGCGGAGTGTTTATCCGCGAATTTCAGTATACGCGATAAAACTCACCCACGGGCTTTTCTAAAGGCAACGTGTATAAGGCCGCGAGAAAAGAAAACAAAAGGAGAAAAGAGAAACGCGAGGAAAGAGTTACTTATTACAGTCGTCGAGTCGGGGATCGTTTACACGACTATGGCTTAAAATTCCGCAGAAATTTTGCATTAAACCGTCACGATTGCGTCTCGGTTAGCCTCGCGGAGGAGCGAGGGGCAACTTAGTTAGCGGCAATTTACGACGCCCAGTAGTGCGCTCGTGGATGCAAATGAGTCGACGCAAACGGCGCGACGCGCTCCTTTCAGGGGCGAACATTCGCTCGTGCGAATGTATATTTCAATATAAGATACGGCGTAATCAGAGAGCTCGCCGCTTTAATTAATTTCCATCTTAAGAATGAACGGGCGGCCGTTTCGCGTCTCTCGCCCTCCCGAAACGCGATCGCGGTTTGTAACCCGTCGAACGAAGCCGCAGGGGAAGATTATTCGGCAATTAGCCGTATCGTTCTCCCGTGAAAGATTCCGAAACGACGCTTCTCTCTCTCTCTCTCTCTCTCTCCCCCTCTCGACGAGAAAAGCTCGACTGTTCAATTTCACCGCGTTAGAAATTCATTCTCTCGACATTATGGACATATATTTCAAAGTCACAATAACATTTCCAGCAGAAAGGGAGTTGCTGTTAATTAATATTTTACTATTGACTCAATTAATATTAATTATAAATGGACTCTCTTGCAGAGGACGGTTGCCGCGCGCACGGTATTTCGACTGCACGCGCGGCAATCGCCCTCTGCAACGTTTTAATTAAAATCTCAGGAGCTTTGGTGTTGTCTTCGAAAAAGGGTGTGTTAGGCTACGCTATAAACTTAATCGCCACTCGGCGGTTCGTTCCCCCGCGGTCGTTAACTAATATATCATTTTTTCGCGATTTACCCTTCTCTTCCGCGCGCCACTCCTCCCTCCCCGTCGCCCTCGTCCTATCGATCAATCCCTCCTCGTTCGTGTATGCGCGCACACTTGCACATACGTGTGCACACATCACCGTAACCGCGGAGCAAGAAACGTCTCTCCTATTATACGTATACAAGCACATGGTTCGATGCAATTATCGTAATAAAAAAACTTAGACTCTCCCTGTTTTAGCCCGAGCATTTCTCTGTCGTCACTAATTTGCCGTTCTTGGTGATTCGGCGAGATTTCATACAGCAAAATCAAACGCGAAAAGTCGACTGCAATCATCGCTCAATATCGGAAAGCTTGCCTTTGTTTCATTGAAAAATTAAATTGCCTTGGATATTAAACGGCTATTTACCGCGATCGCGCCTACAGTAGCGTAGCAATTACATCGTCGGCATTTAATCTCCTAATGTCGGGACTTTCGACCAAACACGGAAAACAAACTTGCTAATGAATTAAGTTTTGTTGATTAACGAGAGTAAACTACCGTGGAGCTTACTGAAGTACAATACTTACAATAACGACGTGTACGTGAGTGTGTTTTGAATAGAGTTTCCGTATGTATTTTGAGTATAGTCACTGTGTTTATTCTGAATAACGTCATTATACGGACAAGGGTATGCTTGTCGCCAATTGTCTGTACCCTCTGATTGTCTTTCGCGGGGACAATTCACAAGAAAGTTCAAAACTGATAGATCGTCTCTCCCAGTTTTGTCACCACGACCGCTGTGTCGCAAATCGCTAAAGCCCCAATTGCCAAATATAGATGACAACACCACATAATGAATAATTCGATTACAATCATCAGTTGGCGTATTGGGTTCGCTTGAATGCTATACCCTTTGTTTATTCGTAAATATATCGAATTCTCTTGCGCAATCAGGATACACGATACATTCCCTTATACACACACACACACACACACACGCATGCATACGCAACACACATAAATGTAATAATGTTCCTTCGTCAGCCACGGTGCTCTGTTTGCCGCTGTTTGACGAGACGACGAATCGCGTTCTGATCGAGCTGGACGTCGCCTCGCAAACGCACGTCCAGAACTCCGTTATCCTGATGATCCACACGGAGGATATCGACCTGTTTCTACCAAAGGATGACTCGCCGACCTCGCCTACCACCGATCCATCGACCTTGGCACACTTCGCGATTACTCAGTCTTCCAATTTTTCTACGTCGAACATAACTCGCGCTAGCCCGTCCGCGATTTCAAGTGGCGACGATGGGATACGGAGGTTACAGCAAACTCCGCGGAGGTTCTCCCCGCCGAGAAACCTCAGCAGTGCCACGACGGAGAACCTAGTCGCGGTCGCACCACTCGATCAAAGGTAATTGATGATGTTAGTTCAAAGACACTTCCGGACGATGCAGTTACTCGTGATTGAGCAGGGCCATTTCAGATTCAAAGTATTTGCGTAAAGAAGCCTTCGCAGAAAATAAAATTGAGAGAAAAAAAGTTAGAAAAGTTACAAACTCGTTTGTTCATAATTAGAAATACCAAGTGATGCATTAATCTACAATCTGCTTAGTTAATATTTAAATCGACGTTATACGATGGAAATCTCTTGAAACATGTTCGAATTCTAAATTATTTGTTTCAATCATATTTATATTAAACCTTTTTATTAAAATCTATCGATATTATACGATTATTTAACGTGAAAATTCTGAGTGCAATTTCGAGTGCAGTGTAAATGAAAGAATATGCTGTCGTAAATCGAAGTTTTCCGTTGCGCAAGCCACGAACTCCTCGTAATCATGAGTGAGAGACAGAGAGATCCCCCGTTCATCGTGTTCGCGCGAAATCCCACGTTGCTGAATTATAATAGAAATCATGCTTGTCGGATTGTCGAGTCGAGTTAATTGCGAGCGTCGATCCGTGTAATTTGGCCCGTGATTAATTCGCAGGAACTAGCTGGGCGTCGCGACGCCGCGTCGCCTCTGTACAAGAAGCGGGATATCGTTCTCTCATCACGTATCTCTCGCACACAGGTACGACGTGCAGAAGGTCTTCAACGGCACGCAGAACTACGCGACGGTGGCGTTGCTCGACAGGCTGAACGAGTCCTTGGCCGTGCTGACGCGCGACAACAGCAGCATCGACAGCCACAACAATAAGATGTACACATACGCCCTGATGGACTGGCGTGACGCCGGCTGGGAGCCGATCCTCGCGGTGGTCGAGCGACATCAGCAGTTGCTGGTCCAGCAGCTGACGCCGAGCGCGGTGGCGTTTCTCAACGTCGAGAGTCCCGATCTGCTGTCCTGCGACGACGATGCCGATTGCGCGGGTGAGTGAAACTTAATGACGTATGTCATTGTGAAGTGAGCGAAACTTAATGAGGATGTATGTTGCTTTTATATGTATGTGCGCGACGATTTAATCATGCAATTGACAGCGAATGACCCGCGGACGCTCTCTTAAAGTGAATCAGTAAAAATCATCATTAAAAAGATCATCTTTCATCGATGATCGATAAAGTGTTCACTGATTTTCAGTGAAGACGCTCCATTCATTCCATGTAACATTCACTGCAAAATCTGCAATATACATATTAAATAAAATCCAATTTTCTACGCTTGTGACGGTAGAATTAACGACTTGTATGCAGTAACACTGTGTTCGCAAAGTGCATCAATAATGGGAACAGTCATTGCTGTTAACTGATTTCCTCAGCGGGATCTCACTGTTTACAGTATTATACTTCTAATTGAGTTGTCAGTTATAACATCCCAGTGAAGAATACACTGATTATACTTTAGACAGCCGCTATGCGCAGCATTTAGTTCTACTTACGCGCTATACATTGGACGCGCTTCTTGATTCTCTTCTGAATATTTCTAAATTTTAATTCATAGTTAGTATTTTAATTCATATTTATAGTAATGACATAAATAATTTTGCATATGACATATATTACAACTAATATATTGACACGTAATTGACAATCTATATTTTTTGCGGATGAAGGCGACATTAAGAGAAAGATTTTATTTATTATTTATTGAGCTTTTATCCGATAGGCGTGGTACGCCGGTGTGATACGCGTGGTCGGGGAAAGTCCTGTTAAAAATAGAACGGTATAATACGGTATAATTGTGGGATGGAGAAAAGTGTGAAGGGTAGCCTATCTTCGCAATTGATCGAGTGACGATATGAATCACCCTTGAAATCTGAAAATATCGCCCATAACGCGACGCTCATAACTACGTAATGCAGTACATTCGTTATTTAGCAGGTGGCTTGGCCGACATGTCTTTCCGCACCACACATATCGTAGCTATTATTCTGGGGTCGCTGCTGTTCACCTTTGTCGCCATCGCTATCGCGATTATAGTCCGGTGAGCGATTACTTTATCACCTTGTACCATATCATTTATAGCCCTTAGTCGAACCGTAGGAAATGACCATGCCTTTTATCCCTTTCACTCGCGCACGCACTATTTATATGTGACTATACGGTTTCAGAGTCTTCCGATATTGTTGTCGTATATAATTTATAAGTTCTTATATTACACCTATAACCACTCAGTACCGCTTGTAGGTTGCAATTGGTATAATGGACGGAAGAAATATGAGTCTTGTTTTCGTTCTTTGTTTGCTTTGAATATTTCTCAGATCGATATTACATGAAGATGGAAAAAAGCGGTTTAATGCAAGTGTAAATCAATTATAATGAAATTATGTATTGAATTATGTAGTATAACATCACTATTACAATGTAATATATTGTATTGAATGTAATCGAGAACGAAGAAAATATTGTAGATGACCTTAGATGGTCTGAATCTAAAAATCGGCTCATTCTAAAAACCTAAAAACAGTGGAAAGTGATTGATAATGAGGAAATTAATGTACATTGCAGGAAGCGCCTGCTCAAGAAGAGGATGTCCAAAGGGCCGTACAAAATCATCCTAACGACGTCGGACTTTGTTTTCCCTCAAGTGCCTCCAGTAGATTCGAGAACGGTGAGTGGAATTTCGTCGGACGCACAATGCAAGTGTTTAATCTTATTGTCCTGCCAACGTCACTAAAAAGATCCATGAATTCCCGTGCAAAATTATTAGCGGAATTGCCTGATTCACTCGTCAAGATCATTTCATCGCGAGATTTTCTGAGGAAAACGTGGAGAACTAAGGTTCAAGACTTGCCGCTCGTTTCGGCAGCTACGCTGCAAAATTTTACACCGCCGTTTACATTTTACTACGCGCCACAATGAAGTCTTGAAACGGTTTTTCACGAGTCGTTGGGTGACGATTGCAGAATTGTGTTAACACTAACTTTTTCCTCGCCACGGTGCGGAGCAAAAATCCTTCCTGACGTAGTGCTTGCTTTATCTACGCGAGAAAGTATCGCTACAGTCCTGGAAGGATATATTTCACGCGAGAGCGGTCGCAGTACGTGAGTTCCTGAATTACCGGTTGGCACGGCAAAAGTAGCTGCTGTACAAAAAAGTGTTAAATGTCAGCACGACGTCGCTTCACCGAGCTTCATTGAACCGCTCAACGAACATTAAATATCCCCCGCTAATGCGCTAAACGTTAAAAGACTTTTACATCGTCGCAATTTTTATACTTGAAAAATGACACTTAATCTCTTATACGATTCTACATTTCACGGCTGAATATTTGAGATAAAAAGGAACATCGCACTCGTACGCAAGAAAGAGAGAGGTAGTGTCATACCTTTTAGAAAATTATTTTTCGTCGTGGCAGAAAGAGGACTCCGTGTTTCCGAATTAAAAACGCTGTAAGAGGTGCACGTTAGGGTTTTAAGGTGTACAAAACAAATGTAAAAAGATTCTTCCTCGCCACCTTCTCTTCGAGTAAATAAGATATCACTTGGTTCTTCCTGAGATCTTTTTTCTCGCAGTCCTTTTCATGTCGAGGCTTGAATTGCATCAAAACGTCCCCTCCTCTCCGCAGCGGCATTGTGTATATCTATTCGATCCTATTACCTTCGTATACGATCGCTCGAGTGGTTTCCGCGTTAAGCACTTTATCGCGCGCGGCTCACGTGTGCTCTCAGGTAGACGAGGGCATCGAGGCGATGCTGTGCTGCTGGCTGCAGCAGCTGCAGGAGTTCGGCGGCCCGGAAGTCGAGAAGCCGGATCTGCTCCAGCTAGGAAGCGTGAACTCCCTCAGGCCGTACTTGCAGACCAGCAGCGGGAATTTGCCGCGACACACTTTCTTCAAGGATCCACGCGCTAGGTACAACGTAAGTATACCTAGCACCCAGCGTGCCAATAACAGCTGCACTCGATCCACTTTGCCGGCGTGAGACGGGCGCGAACATCCTGTCGTCTGCTTTACCACAAATTCCTCAGGTTCCGTGCTCGATCGAATCAGACGTGCTAATCGAGTTGGCTAACTCCGATAAACCGACCTGCTGACTCGCCAGAGCTCGCATGATAAAGACGCTAATGGTCGGAAGTATCGTAGACATGGCAATCGCTCGTTTCCTAATATTCCCAGATTTACTTGGCGGTTGTGCTCGAAGAGGGAAACACAATGAAAGTAAGAGCGGGCAGCAGCCCGAGATGTTCCGTAATGCGCTTTTAAGGAGGCTTATCGATGTTCCACCGTCCTCGGATATGCTCACCCTTGCGCACACCAATTTCACCGTTGATCACTTCCGCAAATTTTCCGCTTGACACGACGCGCGGCATTATGCGAAGATGCCAAGAATATACCCCGGGCACACATCGATATTCATTTTAGCGCATCGCAACGCAGACGACGCGACGATGTTCTCTATATCGTGACACTGATTAATGCCGTAGGTTCCATAATAAGATCAGACCGATAAGAACCATCTCTCGTGTCTATAATCAAGATTGATAAGGTGGTATTAAAATATCCCATAGCCCCTCATCTCCGTTACTTTCGTTAAACCGCGCACACGTCGTCGAGCATCATCGTGTTCGCGCCGAAACGACCAAACGCGAGATTATCACAAGATACTCGACACAGGATACTCGCCACCGTGTCGACGCCGAGTTAATTACCCATTCTAATTTCTAATAGGGTGACTTGGTGCAACTGAAGGAGCTGCCCGTTCAAGGTACGTTCGAACTGAAGAACAAGGCCATGGACGTGCTGGTCACGGTAAAGGCACACACTTTTTTATTCATAATCCTCCGAGAGATATAGATTCCATCGAATAGATCTCACCCCTTTCTACTTTTGGCCAGATCCAGGGGCTGCGACACGAGAACCTCAATCCTTTGATTGGATGCCTTAACGAACCTACGAGACCCTGCCTAGTGTCGGAATATTGTTCGAGGGGTTCTCTGGAGGACGTGCTTGTCCAGGACGAGATCAAACTCGATTGGTCCTTCAGATTATCCTTGCTCACCGATCTCGTGCGGGTGAGTAAGATCGCGTGTTTGCAACATGATATGAAGTGAGAAGATTCAGGGGACCAACAAAATTTCACAAAGATTGGAAACAGTTTGTGGAATATGTGTCTTGAAGGAAGAAAAGCTAACGTCCATTTCTTCAGTTCTCCCGTCACAAAAATCTTCAAAGTCACGAATATTTCAGAACCGAAAAGTTTTCTAATTGATTGTAAATATTGTTCTTTAAGTATTCAATATTAATTAATTAAAGTAGTGTAATTTAGCATTTAGCTCTTTGAAAATATCCATGCTAATCTTGAAAGATTTGAATTCCAGACATTTGCTATTGAGGTCTAAAGAAACGAACATCGATCTCTTCCCTTCCAACATAAAAAAGATTTTGTTGTCATGCATTTGGAATCTAATATACTCAAGACTTGAAGTATCAAAATTATCATCAGGTTGTCCGAGAATTTTTAATTATAATTTTAAGTATAATGCCGATCTTTCGAGTCGATTTCTTGTGTTTGCAGGGCATGAGATACATGCACGGGACCCCGATACGAGTTCATGGCTATCTCACTTCGCGCAACTGCGTGATCGACGCAAGGTGGGTCCTGAAAGTCACCGATTACGGCTTGCCTGCATTTTATGAAGCACAGAACATTCTACCACCGATTAAAACAGCTCGAGGTAAGTTGTTCGTTCAACTCTCTTCTACATCGTTTCTCACTAAAATCTTCTTCGGTATACACACGCCGTACGTGATCGATATAACTCTTTCGATTAGATCATCTTAAAGCGATAATTTTTACAGAATCGCAGAGTAACATTGTGTTATTATAATAAATTAATAATCCTTGGCATCGACTTAAATTGCGCCAAGTTTAAGCTTGTCAAACTCCATTATTAAGTGTTCTCGCCCTACTTAGAAATTTTATTATACGATTACTCGGATTACAAAGTCCCATTAATTAAAAGTTGGATGGCATGTTCTGCTAATTGAAGACGTTTAAAGCGAAATACAGATTTCACCGTGCGCTCAATAGCGTTTCAATTAACCGGAACGCTATTATGAATTTTATTCGCATAAGCGCGCGTATTCGAGCGAATAGTAATCGCCGGCTTGTTGTTCGGTAGACTTGTTATGGACCGCGCCGGAACTGCTTAGGCATCCGAATCTGCAGAAAAAAGGGACCCAACCGGCAGATGTTTATAGCTTCGGAATAATTATGCAAGAAGTCGTTGTCCGCGGAGAGCCGTTCTGTATGCTCGCTCTATCTCCGGAAGGTAATATGCGCAACTTCGCAACTACGCGATCAATGCAATCTCTATTAACGGTATATATATATATATATATATATATATATATACTTCGAGTGTTATTAAGGACTTCCCTTAAATATCTCTTTACAATAACCAAACCACGGGGATACCGCGAAGAGATCGTTTTTTATGATTGGAATCAAAATTTTACTCTCGTTGACGATTGATTTAACGCGGATCTATCGTTCATCGTCACCTACTTTGATCCATTGACGTCAGTCGAGTATGAAGTACCAAACTTATGGAAATCTCACGTTTACGCGGTCGATCGTCAGCGACGCCCTAAAATCGAGAATATTATCTAACATCCGAGGACCGCCCGTCTCGCATACCGCAGATATAATCGAGAAAGTGATGAAGCCACCGCCGCTAATCAGACCGTCGGTCAGCAAAGGTGCTGCACCGCCAGAAGCCATAAACATCATGCGCCAGTGTTGGGCAGAAACTGCGGAGATGAGGCCTGACTTTGACGATGTACATGATCTCTTCAAGAAGCTGAATCACGGAAGGTAAAACCACCGTCCAACCCCGAGGTATTGTGCCCTCGGGGGCGGAAATACCGGGTATATCCTTGGCTGGAACGTCAATAAGGGCTGCGCCGTGGAAATCCATTTCTCACGGATCTAATCAGGATTCGATAGCACGAGCGATTTAGCCGCGTAATCTCCACCGAACGAGTACTAAACCGCACCGATAAGATTCGACAATTAATTAACAATAATTAACTAAGTAATTAAATTCATTTAATTAATTGCATGATTGATGAGTCGAAAAGAGAGAACTCAAGCGCATTGGCGCGAGAAAAATGTGTTATCTGACTTTGTGAGTCGAATGTATGTCTCGATGAAGAGATGTCGCCATCAGTCGCCCTGTCATTTATTTTCAGGAAAGTAAACTTCGTGGATACGATGTTCCAAATGCTCGAGAAGTACTCAAACAACCTGGAGGAACTCATTCGCGAACGTACCGAACAGCTCGACATGGAGAAGAAAAAGACTGAGCAATTATTGAATAGAATGTTACCTAGGTAAACGATAGAAAGTTCCAAGTTCTCACTAGTTCGTGAATGTACTTTGATCGAAAGTAACTTATTTAAATTCTTGTTAATATCTTAACAAAATCGTGACTTTTCTTCCATTCACTTCAAAGTTGAGACTAAGAAGTATCTTGATGCTCGTTTTTTTTTTTATTAAACTAGTACTTAATTAAATAATCGTTAAATTTTCGCGATTAGTTCTTCTCTTTGAAATTCTGATGTTTCAACAATTTTCGCGTTGGAAAATCAACCCACTTGGATCGGTGCTTTCAGCTCGGTCGCTGAAAAACTGAAGCTCGGCATGCCCGTCGACCCCGAGGAGTTTCGCGAGGTCACGATTTACTTCTCGGACATTGTCGGCTTCACGACAATATCCGCATGCTCGACGCCCTTTCAGGTGGTCGATCTCCTCAACGATCTGTACACTTGTTTCGACGACACAATTAACGCGTACACGGTCTACAAGGTAAATCCAATGAATCGTGAGAGCGTAGCCAAACCTTTCCCGATGAATTGTACTCTCGACATCGTTTCGCGATAAAATCCGTATAAAATAAAATTAAACAATATATTCTCTCCTTTAAATGAATTTATACACAACGCTGCACACAGCCGGGAAAATCGCGCGTATACGCGAGAAAATAAAATATAAAATGTAAACCTCGATAAATTTTTTCTGGGGTGTAAATGACGTTTGATTAATCATTAATGCTTTTACTTATAATGTTTCACGTTCGTGCCACGATTTTATTTTTTCTGAGTTTTTTCACAAATTATTTGAGATGCTATTCGTTTCTGGTCATTCTACACTTGTAAACAAAGATACGAACGGCTTTACGCGAAACTAACAGACACATAGTACGAGGAATGCGTACAAACACGATAACCAGATTACATCAAAGGGCTACCGAATTCCGATAATACCATGCCGATAACGCCTGTTCGAATATCACAGGTGGAAACTATCGGTGACGCTTACATGGTCGTGGGCGGATGTCCTGTGAGAATACCCGATCACGCATCTCAAGTGGCAACCATGGCGCTTGACCTGCTGCATCAGAGCGGAAAATTCAAGTTAAAACATCTTCCGGACACGCCGCTCCGGCTACGCATCGGTCTTCATACGGGTTAGTGCACTCTTCGAGCAATCACTTTTTTAAATTTAGTTCTTGCTCTTTTTTTCTTGACTGTGTAAAGATAGCCCCTCAACTTCAAAATTTGAAAAAAAATTATTCGAGTTCTCTCATTCGAAGAAATCTAGAGTTCTCAATCGGTTTCGGCATTTCAAGCAGTCAAAGAACCATTTGAAAAAGGGGGAAAGGCCAACTTTATTAAACTTTGCATTAAAATAAGCACTGGAAGTTTCGTTTAGAAATTTTTTTTTTAATCTTCGGAACTATGAAGAAATTGCCTTCCTGAAGTGGTGTTTTGACTGTTTTATAAACGACGGAACTATTTCTGAAATCGACTGAGAACTCTAGAATTTTTCAGGCAGCATTCTGAATAATCTTTTTTTTCCAAATTCTGAAGCTAGGACTAACTTCCTGTAGACCTTCTTCTCTTCTCCTTTAATTCATGGATATCTATATCGAAACATGACGCACGGTCATTAAAGGGTTAAGGGATTTTTCCCCTCAGGCCCGTGCTGTGCCGGCGTGGTTGGGCTAACAATGCCACGTTATTGCCTCTTCGGTGACACGGTGAACACCGCCTCGAGGATGGAGTCGACCGGTGCGCCGTGGCGTATCCATCTGAGCCAGGCAACGAGGGATCGATTGACGCAAGTCGGAGGATACCACATTGAATACCGCGGGCCCACCGATGTTAAGGGTAAAGGCAAGATGCCGACCTACTGGCTGCTCGGCAAGCAAGGCTTTGACAAGGAGCTACCCAGGCCGCCGCCTCTCGGGTAAGCTTTATCGTGAACATTTTTCGGATATCCCGTCCCTGACACATCCGCCGGCCTTACCACGACAAGTTTGTCGTGCAGACGTAGGTTTTAACGCCTGTGATTTAACATCGGCGCATCCGGCCGACGTTATGAAGTTCAATTTATTGCGATGGACCTCCTTTATATATTCGACGCGACCCCTTTTTCGCGCCCAAGCGTTTCCGTCGGGGTCGAGACGAGGGTGGTTCGCCGCAGCCTGGAGAAAGTTTTCCGGACAGCTTCGGTCTCTCGCCTCGCATTCCGAATCGTCACGGAGACGAGGGTTATATTTAATCAACGAGAGCGCCATGTTTCCCTGGTTAAACTCGGCCGAGAGAGAAACGCGCTCGGGAGTTTTTAATTATGTAACAATAAGTCGCGAGTTCTCCGACTCGCGCGCGCTACTGCATCCGTGCGTTAAGTTTTTTTCCCAACGGCTTTTCTGTCTTCCCCCCCCCTCTCTCTCTCTCTTGTGCTCTCTCTCTCTCTCTCTCTCTCTCTCTCTCTCTCTCTCTCTCTCTCTCTCTCTCGTGCTCTCTCTCTCTCTCTTTCTCTCGAACTTCACTCCTTTATACTTTATATTTTAGTTGCCTGACGTATCCGTAAAAGTGATATGTACCAGCAAAGTTTTCTCATACGAGCTATTTTTTTATAATACCCACGGGCAAAAATTGACCTACTTACGCAGCGCTGCGTAAACGGGAAAGAGTCCTATATTCTTAGGGTTAACGCTTATATTATGCGGGGTGTTTCCGACCCTTCGCGTAACCTTTCAACCAGCCGTGGGTGACAGAGTCAAATCTGAGAAGAATAGCCGTTTCGAATTGACGTATTGGTTCCACATTCTGAGCGGGGACAAGGATGAAAATTAAATAGCTCGCGCGAACAGTTTCCACGCGAATAGTGAAAGTCGAGTTTGTGCCTCTCAGCTAATTTCGAACAGACTATTAAGAAGTTCTCGAGGAGTTCTTTAATTACACTCTTACTGAATGCGAAATATTAAAAAGTGAAAATATATAGATTCATAGTAGCGAAATTGCATTTAAGAGTTCAATAATAAGTAGTCAGTGATTACTTATGAATATTAGTTAATTATATACACACTTATACATAATTATATTCATATATTCACTTATACATAATCATATGTAATAATTATTTTCGCGGATATATGGGCGGTGATAGGGAAGTTTGCAAAGTCTCTGAATTTCCGATGTGGTGTATTTTTATTTGTCTTATTTATTTTCCAGATATTTAATACTTTTATCTGTTACCATTCTGCCGCTATACTCAGGGAGAACCACGGGTAAGTAGATTCACGAGAAAATAACTCGACGCTCTCGAATCGATCATATCATTTTACATTTGATAAATCTTCCACGGACCGTGCGTCAGATACAGTTAGGCAAGAAGGCTTGAATATATCATGTTCTCCGCGTCAATATGCTCCCACAATAACTCCTTCTAATACCGTCTATCTATCATTCTGTCTAATAACGTAGTCGTCAAATTTTTTATCCGAATAACTTTCATCATAATGGCTTTGGTATTTTTTTGGAAATATACTATCGATCGATTTTGTCGAATAATGTATATTAAAGCGATATACGAATGAACTTTCACATTTCGAAGCAGTGGCATCAAAATATCGTTTGCGTCTTTCATTTTAATGTCAAATTTAAAATTCTCGTATTGTTGGTTGAACTTATTTTTCTTTTAAACAATATCTTCTTTTTCGATGGAATAATAATATCACTCCAGCTGTGACTACGATGACTTTTATGAGTTTTGAATTCTACATATGTACAATAGAAGTGTGCAACATCACATCATATATGAGTAAACACCCATTCGAGACACCTGCGTTCTCCAGTATCGAGCATGCCTCTCGCATCGAAATTTACCCCAAAGGTTCTCACGTCTGCATTTCAGTGCACGAATGTCGTTGAACATAACAGAGGAAATAGACATCGGTGAAACAAAAGTTCGAAATATACTACTTTTCGAAAGTTAGGACTTCTGGACGACATAAAAGTTGAAATCTTTCCCGATGTAGAATCGTAGAAAAGGAACTACCGATATATAATCCGATTTCACAACCGCTGAATTATATATTTTTTTGCACCTCTACTTTCATGCATATTCATTCTAATTTTTTCCATTTTTCGATACGAAGCAATTAATTTGTACTATAGTCCGCTCGACGGCTTACGTGCCATTGCATCAGACGTGAGACCGTCGTAATAACACAGAACTCATAGTCTTTTTTGAATCTTCGAAGGCGCGACGAGAGCTTGATCCTGGAGAGCCAGAGTGGATTGTCGAGTGATTCGGCAGGCTCCCAGCTAGCAGTGATCCCGTCGCAAGATGAGACGCACGAAGAACCCGTTGGACTAGAGGAGGCCACGGTTAACAGGGATGACTCGATCAGCAGCGGGCTAGCTAACAGCGACAGTCGACCCGGCTCCTTCGAGGAAGCTTCCAACATCAGGAAAGTTGCCGTTTCCGTGCACGATGAGCGCACGCTGCTGCCCAGTTACTCCTTGAAGTCCACTAATGACTTTATCGAGACACTCTCGGGGAGGCAAGACACGCTTAGCAGAGCATGTGAGCCTCACAGCAGCGTGACCAAAAGCACATCCGGCGATACCCAGGCCTCGCTCGGGGTGTCGTCCTCGGTATCCGGCGGCGAGCCGACGACGGCGACGATCCTCGGCGCGTCCACCAGTTCACTCACGTCGATCGCCAGCTCGGCGACCTATCGACAGCCACCGAGACTTCGACGACTCGCCGGTTGCCTCGACGAGAAAGACCTCAGCACACCGTACAATTACTACAGGTGTCTGTCGCCCAATGAACACCACGGTACGTATTCATGATTCATCGTTTGCGATCAATAAAATCAATGAAACAATTAAAGTAAGAAAGAAGTTATGAAAGTAAGAATCTCAATGTGTCTCGCTCTTGGCGTCTTGGACCCGTATTAATAGTCGTTGCTTGAAACATACCTCGAGTGAAACGTTCATATTTAAGTTTAGAGTTATGTGTGAGTTTTTCAATAGATCGCGGTCGTAAATCTAATGCCACGTATATATCATGTCATCCAACTGAAAGCTTCAACTCTGAAATTTGAGTATCTCATATGAGACATATTCCAAGTAACAACTATTAACACGGCTCTTATAGTCTGAGAATCGTCTTTTCAAGATTATATTTAGTCAGTTAACACGCGTAGACGTCATTTAAGATCCAAGTTAAATCCAATTATAAATTTGGACTTATTGTAAACGTGCAGAAAGCCCTAACTTTGAATCTTAATTTGGATAAAACAGCTCCAACCTTGATAACAAAGATTTTATTGCATACTTAGAGATCTATCTAGACTTAAATTATCATAAATTTCCTAAATGTAGATTTACATTATACTTATTCTTATTCTAAAATTCCTTGAGTCTGAAACTAATGAACTTTCTGCGTCTATCAAACGCCGTCTTTATCTCTGACATTTCCGACCCTAGGGAAAGGTTCCGGATGTCGAATACTTAAGAGGCAATTCAGCTTGGACCGTCCAGATGATCCGACGTCCACAATCCCGGAGCAATCCAGTACAGTCAGTCAGAGATCCACTCCTCGTCTCTACAAGCAAAACAGCGCGGGCGCAGCGAATGACTTGGAGAGAATCGAGGAAGTGCCGGCTACTCCTGGACCTCTTCTGCAGAACTATCGTCACGCGGCTTCGGTTTCTCTTTCCGTTGAGTCGTTGTCGTTACGTTGAGTCTCCACGAGAGAAACCTCGAATCTTACGAGAGCACAAAATCGAACATAGTACCTATGTGTGCGAGAGCATCGCGTTTAAAGCACAAACGATTCACGCAGGAGAGCCTATATAGATGTGGAAGGTCGCGTCGTGAAACACGTTGTAACGAAAAAGACAGAACCAAAGTTAATCAAAGTTAATCGGTGTTAGTGAAACTGATCCATGAATTTACAAGTACTAGAGAAGAAAGAAAGTCGGCTCGGTAAGCCGTTTGCAATATCTCATCCTCGTTAAAGTCTTAAGCCTGATCTACAATATGCTCTTTTATTCCCGTTTTTTGTTCTATGTCTTTTTCTGGCTTAAGGGGATGCTGAAGCTGAAAATTTTACCGACAAAACACTGACATTTTTCTGCAAAGTTTACATCGTATTGGTTACACAGAATTACAAATGTTTTTGCAATTAAAGTACATACAAAAATAAATAGGAGCATTGCTCGATATGTGTCGAAAACGAACAAACAATTTTTAATGTAAAATCTCAAGCTGTCAGCGTAATATTTGTCTAATTCAAAAGTTCCACAGCTTGTACATACTGAAATTGTGGATGCTCCAAACAGAAAAATTTTGAAGAACATTGCTCTACCTTCGCATTTGCATTTGGAAGCTTAAAAATATCGAAAAAGTTTGCAGAAAGATTTCTACATATATATGATTAGGTTTTCCGTTGAATATGGTAAAACAAAGCACAATACACATTCCGTTGAATATGGTAAAACAAAGCAAAACAATACACATTCATATAAGTTCTGTATATACAAGAAATACGAAAAGGATAGCGTGATTATGTTAATGACGATCGTTTCTGCATTATCGACTTTGTTCGAGTTTGTCATCGACTCCAGCATCCTCTTAAGGTTTAAGATTTCGATCAGAAAGAGATAAAGAGAAAGAAACAGAAAGTAAAGAATACATTATAGATCAAACTTTAACGTCTCGATATCTTTGAGAATGCGTGTCGTCGTGACTCGTTGCCTGCTCCATCTGTATATTCTTGCCTGGATGTATTAGTATTTCGTGCAATAATTGCGAATAAGGAACTGGATCAGAACCGGAACCGAATAAGAACTCGGTGGCGTGTACAAGTCGTTCGTAAGTAATCGTTGATGCGGAAAAAAAAGAAAAATTTGGTAGGATTTACGGGCGATCCGTTCTTCGAACTCCCTGAGGTGTCTCTGTATCGGTTGATTCCGCGTATTTAGACGTTTCGCCGATATATAGCTTCCGGTTGCTCGACGAGGTAGCTCGACAGTCGCTCGTCACTTCACGTCGAAATCAACATCCCAGTATCTCGGAGAGCGCGAATGTCTAAATGGGATATTCCCGGATCACTAAACGGGGTATCCATCGAACATCACGCGTTATTCGCAATTCCAAATATGTTACAGGGTACTCTCGAGCACTCGAGAATTTTGCGCCGAGTACCTGCGTACTAAGCTACACGCTTTGCGTGGAATGCGATCGAATTTCTTGGCAAGCGCATTAAAGCGCGAGTAACTTTAGACGTATGATTGTATCTCTCATTTCCGATTTCCCGTGTAATAATAACGGGAGTAGAAGAGCACGCTCTTATCGCGGACGACAATCTCCACTGCGCTGTCTCTCGTCATTTTTCGGTATCGTTTCCGACGATCGTGCCAGGACATGAAATAACTTCTACGACGCAGGACCGTGAATGAGATCATTTCCCGTGTGCACGCAGATATTCTCGGAAATATATTCGGGAGAGTTTCGAATAACTCCGACTCGACGAGCAAAATGAACAGCCGACGTGGCTCAATTCGAATCCAGCGAGTAGGTAAGCTGCTTTCAAGCTCAGTAAAGGATCGTCTACGATGCGATCGCAGTTACGTTTTGAAGTCGTAGCACCAGTCTGTGGAATCGATCATGCATCTATTTCCTTCGCGTGAACTCATGACAAATGAAAAGCTTTATCGACGAATTCAATAAAACTTTTCATCTTTCATACGACCGCATTGTCCACGATCCCCTGCAATTCGAATCAAAATTTCACATACGTGTTTTATTCGGATAATACACTTTACACGATACTTGAATATTTCGCAATCCCATTTCGAGCATCATATCGTTCACGTTGACTTTCGTCCGTCCCTTGAAATTCAATTCTGAAGTCAGTGTCCATTTAAAAATTCCGCATACTTACGGAAAATGTCGGATATTATTCGTCAGTGATTAAGAACATCGATTAACCATTCACGTTCGCATCTTTCTCTTCGTCGGGTCTAGCTTTGGTTACAATCTTAGTGCGGTAGCCTCGAATTCCTTCAATTTTTCAACGAGAATGAGAATTTTTTCAACGAGATTCAACTGGCAGAACTTAGGATTCTTTGAGCAACTGATGAGATTTTCGCGATGCTACGTCTGCTTTGTCGACTTTGAGATTCTACTCAGCGTTAGAAATGTATCGACGCTATTTTACATGGTAAACTTTAATAATTCTATACTCACGACGACAAATAACTAATACGTATACGATGTGCCAATTTGTCGATTACAACGCTACCTTTGACTGTATCTGATGTACAATAAGTGTGCAAGTAAGAAACGAAACAGACGCGTACCTTATCGGGGATTTTCACAAATACCTCGTCGTATTGTTATCGATGACGTACATTCTTCTGAATCAAAAGAGGACTACTTAGCGCGCGTCTCCTCTTTCGTTTCTCTTCGCGCTCTATGAGTCTCGAATCAAATACGCTCGTCGAATCAGCTTAGTTTCTCGTCGCGCGAGCATCCACTATAATATAATAAAAATATACTATTCGGTCCTTTCTAAACCAGCCTCGACACAGTCGGCGCTAATCCGGACGACAATCGTTAAGGAATAATCGCATTTTTTAACGTTACCGTGTAACAATAATCGCCCGATAATTTTCGATGGCTGTCCCTCACCCGCGGGAAAAAAGAGTTCTCGGCAGCTACACAATATTCTCGCGAGTAAGCTCATTTTGGAAAATTTATAATTCGCGACACAGAATTCTATACAGAAGTCTGTTCTTCATTTTATGTAGGACACATAGAGAGAACATTTGAAGGTTTTCCGATATATACATCTTACCCAGATGTTTATAAATGTAACTCTAATCCTTCAAATGTTTTCTTAAGCACATTTCTTAGATGATCAGTAGTTTGCGACGCGAATTGTGAATTGTCTAAAGCGTGCTTGAAAATCGATGCATAATTATTCCGTGGTTCGTGAGCACATACGTGTGTGTCCGCGGCTACGTGCCGTGTAACCGATATACGTACTTCGGTGTACTTCGTGTAGTCTCACGTAGCCACTCTAATGTTAGCGATATAAATAGGTATAAATAGATTTGTGCACTCCTCTCTCGGAGTCTTTATGCGGTCCGCGTTCCATACGACAGGCATCCTCGAATCTCTCGTATAAGAAGATTGTACAATATCTAAAAACACGATCGACTCTTTGCAATTCAAATTTCATTCCCCTCTCTCGATATCTAGAATTTCCATACTCGTATGGACTTCGCCGTCACTTTTATCCAAGTTTTTTAAGCTTTCGTCGATACTGTAGAGAATTTCAATAGTGCATTACGATCGTGTGTGACGAGTTAAAAATTGTAACTATCGAGGAAAGCGAGATCGAAACACGAAAGCATAAAAGAAGAATAACGAAGAATTGATATATTTTTCATAAGGATGCCTGTTGATCAATTTATCATAATAATCATTTGTTATCAGTGGCGTAACAAATATGCATTAAATGCCGAATATAAGTAATTAAATGAAAACATTTAGCATTAAAACACCGATTATAATTTAACTATAATTAATTAACACAGACGCATCATCTATTTATAATTAACATTCTTCTTTCTAATAGAATTCTCTTAAAAATCACGAAGAAGCCGAACATTTATTTTTTTCGTCCATGAACAAATTATGTATCCTTACGTGTTTGGTGCTAAAAGATGCACATTATTACACAAGATTCTTTTAATCTTAAGTATTTCTATTTCTAGAACGGTGAGATATTCGCTACGCTACTGGTCATCGTTTCTATACGTACATCTGACTGTGAATAGAAGAGAACTTAATTGTACGTATAAATGTTGAGTGTTAAAAAAGATGTTATCGAAAGGAGATCTAAATATGTAGTATAGCAAACGACGGCGAAGGTCGGATATTTGTATATTTCAGACGCATCGTGCGATTATATACTCGTTACTAATACTTCAATGTTACTCGGTAACATCTCCGGCAATAAAGATGACTATACGGCCGTACGACTGTTCCGTGAAAGTTTTGTCCCTCGCACAAGTTCCGTCCCGCTTATTCTCAATTTCCGCTGATGCAGCTCGAAAGGACCCAAACATGAGAATTCTCGAAAAATTAAGCTTACACAGGAATCAACAACGGAAAAAAAACGATGTATTAACGAATGTATTTACTGAAGAAAAGAATATAATTTTTGCGTCAGATTCTCTGATTGAAAAATGCCATTTCTTTTTTTTCGAAGAAAGAAAGTGTTTTGTAGAGTTCTTCAATACACACACACACACACACACACACACACACACACACACACACACACACACACGCGCGCACAGGCACACAGAAGAAGATAAGTAAAATAACTTCAACAACAAAACGATATTTACAAGTCATGATATTTAATTGATAATTGATAACATGATAATAAGTCTATAGATCAGTAACAAAAATAACAACTTCTTTATTTACTATTACTAAATGATGTTATTGTCAACTTACACTTAACGTTAGACGACCTGACTGAGACACGACACATTGCACGCATGTTTTTAGCTGTTTCTAGTACCGCGAGGTAAAACAAAGAGATCAGATCGGCACGCTGTCGCTAACACGAACTGCACTTTACGTTTACCAGGCGCTGCAAAAAAAATCACTTAGAGAAACAGAAATCAAAGTGACTATCGAAGCGCGATTTCTCAAGGATGATAGATCATTTCGCGTATTTGTCGTGAGATATTCGTGAAAGTTGGTTTCCCTTACCCATAGGAGGGCGACGGATCTGGCTGCGACCAAGCTGGCGCGTATTCCTTAAGCGGTGGTGGTCCGTAAATGGGTTTTGGGACGATCCTTTCGATGTAAACCGGCTTCTCGACGTATTCCACGTACTTCACCGGAGGGGAAAGGTACACGTGATGTACTTCCGGTGCGCCATAGTAACCGGCTTTGTAACTGAAAGTACGAGACAAAAGAGATGATGATATAATCTCTACCGAGTTACTTAAGAATCAACGAAAAGTACATTCATATGAGATTCACCTTCGTAGTTTGTTTAAGAATAATCTTACGCACCAAATTGAAACACGATGACAGTAATAGGGAGAAATAAATATTATTTAAACACGACGAGAAATTGTATTAATGATAAAGTTTTCACCCTTTCGCAACGCCGAGACCGAAGCCGAGAAGACCAGCGCCGAGTAATTTCTTCTTCAAGAACAACGTTCGCTTTTCCCTGGTGTGCACCGCGCCGCCATTTACTTGATCCTCAACAGTCACGCTTCCGAGGTCCAGCGGTTGTTGGTTTTGCACGTTCTCTTCCGCCGCGGCCCTCAATGTGAGAAAACAGCAGACGGTGATGGCAATGATGACGACGGTGCGATGCATCTAAAACAAGTTCCGAAAGAGATATAACATGAATGACGGGTAGATTGGTGAAGCCATACTCCAGCGTATTCTCCCTGTGTGTTCAAGATCCTTAAAAGCTTAATCTACAATATGTTCTTTGCTTTCTGTTTCTTTCTCTTTATCTATTTCTGACTCAAATCTTAAGCCTTAAGCTTGATCTACAATGTAAATTTTGCTTCTTGTTTTTTTTTTTCTTTATCTCTTTCTGACTCACATCTTAAACCTTAAACTAAAAAAAGACAGAGAACAAGAAATAGAAAGCAAAGAGCACATTGTAGATTAGGCTTTAAGCCAGAAACAAATAGAGAACAAAAACAGGAAGCAAGAAGCATATTGTACAATAGATTAGTCTTAAGACTTCAAACGAGACTTTATTCGAGCGAATCGATTCTTACCTTGCGTCTCAATACGGAGGCACGGTAGGAATTAATTGGTGATGATACACCGCGAGGACAAGTCTGAATACTGTGACTTTGATCGAAGAATCGTTCGATTTTATACCGACTTGCCTACCTCTCCGCTATTTGCGGTCAGTGCGGGCGCAATTCCAGAGTCGCCCCCTACTACGGAGTCAAGAATAGGTCTAAAGTCGGGTTTAGGGCCATTAAGCCTATTGTGACATTCAGCAAATACTTGCATACATCACGAGCGGTCTATATAGATAGATAGATATAATGTCAATAGATTAGATGATATAAGTAGAAAACGAAAAAGTACGTGGAAATGACCGATACGCGCCCACTCTCGGGTTAATATCTATAACCAAACATTTCCTAATTTCTTTGCAATTAATCTTTTATTTATGTTAATACTGTACTCATTTCAGTCATACACTTACATATTTATACAGAGTAAACGATATCGTATAAGGCAACATATTTATTTCTTGAAACACAGTTTAAGAAATGACAAAATCTATCTATATCTATCTATATCTATCTATATCTATTGACCTAGCCAGAATTTCAGTCTGACCTCTCGTTCGCGACACAACAAGAAAAATTTCACGTAAAAGAACTTCCTTTCTTTTTACTAAGCGATTTCCTCGAATATGGAGACGAGTTAATTTCACGTAATATTTACGTCCGTAAATACGAACGATTCTCCTCGTCCACAGTAAAACATAGGAAATGGGAAAACAAGTCTCGATATTTCAAAGTTACGTCAACATGATATTTTATTAACAATCATTACTTCCATGTAATGCTATATTTTTTTTGTTATTCATCGTTGTATCATATATAATAATTGCAATGAATCGTTAAAAAAAAACTTGTATTCATCTTTTCTAAAACCTCCTTCAACTGAGTCAAAGCTGAGAGTAGGGGAGAGTTGTTGAGATCGTACCGGTCTCATCAAGTTCTTTATTATTATTGTATATGAACGATATCTAACAGTAAAAATGAGCACTAAATGAGTAAAGAAAAATCTAAACAAAAAATTTTCAGATTACATCTTATTTTGTGCGTGTACTACAAATATTTAAAAAATCAGATACGAGTTAGGGAACAGGTAGGATTCCGGTAACTTTTCCCTAATCAGCAATCGCTGTTAAAACTTGAAGATAGCTAAAACGTAATACGACGGGACTTGACAGATCGACGGCAAATTCGAGAAAGTGAAAGAAAGAGAGAAGACAACAGGAACACAACGGACATCATTCGATTTATCAATTCCAGCGACGTGGTGAGCGAATAATGCACACAATCGTGCAACAAGTAGAGTGGCAGAGAAAAGAAGAGAAAAGAGTGAGAAAGAGAAAGAAAGAGAAGGAGAAAGAGAGAAGAGGAGAGGGTGCGGCACGAAGAGAGGAGAAAGTGAAATACTGCGCAACGAATTTTCCATTCTTTCTTCGGCGGGCCCACGTGTCCCGCCTTTCAGCGCGATACACGTGCTTCTGCCGCACGCAATCGCATCGAGCTCGTTACGTGCGATCTAATACATACACGTAATCATTGACCGCACGCACGCTCGCTCGCGCGCGCGTACGCATAAGCAGAATGCGATCGACGATGACCGAATAACAATGGGACCTTGTCAAATACGCACGCATCGCCGTATCATTATCTGGCGATGCACAAGCGACGACCCGGCCGATGGACGTCTGATTGATTGTACCATTTAGCTACGCATTACTGAAGAGAAGCCCTTACTTTATAATTTTATATGATAAAAGTAAGATTTGTGTAGTAATCGGACAAGAAGGCTTCAGAACTAACAAAACTATCAATCTCTTCTGAATTCTACAAGATTTGCAGATTTTAATAAGACATATTTACGCGATTTATTTCTCGATAAGTTGTAATGATTGTAGCAAACAAGTTTTTCAATAAATAACTTTCTTATGCAAGTTTTTCAATAAATAACATTCTTACATCGCTTAATTAAATAATGATTATAAATGTCGATTTCTTAAATTCACTACAGAACAGGTCAGACATACAGATAGAAGCCGACACGCGACGACAATTCGGTAATCGGTGTAGAAAGTGTCTGGGTAAGAGCTCGGTGAGCTTTCGCAAGCAAACGTGAACAGGCGCGAAATTTCACCGGGACATATGAAGGCCGGTCGCGCGGTAACGTTATTTCCAATATTTTTCGACTTTGCTTGCTGAGGGTGGCGACGCGGTTAGTTCGCGGTTCGAGAAACATGCTTTCACGTCTCGCAGGTGCAACGGCGAAAACTGACAGATCATTTATGCCAGGATATTAATATGGAAATGGAAATTCGGTGCGCTATTAATAAGAGTCGCTTCTGCGCCGAGATATAAATAAATAACTCATTGAAATAGAGAACTCAATTTTTTTGTCATTTCTTAAATTGTGTTTCAAGAAATAAATATGTTGCCTTATACGATATCGTTTACTCTGTATAAATATGTAAGTGTATGACTGAAATGAGTACAGTATTAACATAAATAAAAGATTAATTGCAAAGAAATTAGGAAATGTTTGGTTATAGATATTAACCCGAGAGTGGGCGCGTATCGGTCATTTCCACGTACTTTTTCGTTTTCTACTTATATCATCTAATCTATTGACATTATCGTATTTTCGCTTTTACGTAAATTTTCTTTGATGTTTTTTCGTATAACATGGAGAAGTAGACGGCGGTTATTTCTATGTAAAATTTGATACGTTTTTAGCAATCGGCCTAAAAGACTATAGCGCGCCTACTAACGTTAGTCTTTTATCTCTGCCGCGTCGCCGAATGTCTATTGTCTTTCCGAATCGTAGTTAGACGGACGGTTCTCTCTTTTTTGTTGAATCAATAAAATTTTTAACAGCACGCGTAATTGGAGTATATATTCTTGATTCAATAGCGATATTATTAAAATTAATACTTAAATTATTGAAACAATGCATTATGTGATAATTTTAATATTGCCATTAAATCAAGAAGATTTATTCTCTGTTTCTAAATTTATTAAATAAATTTTTAAGTTTATTAAATCAATGTTTAAGTTAATCAAAGTAAAACGAGAGAAGCAAGAAATTCTTAATTTATTTTATTAAACTAAAAGAATGTCATTTTTTACTAATGCGGTTAAAATAAAAATATAATTTTATTTTCAATATATTCACATATGTATAATAAGTTTAATATGTTTCCTAAACATATTAGATATAGAAATGGTAAAGAGAAAAAAAGATGGGGAAAAGAAAAAATAATGACATAATAAAATTATTTCCTTCAATTATTGTTTCTTTTAATAATTGGACTGGTAATTTATTAATTATTATTTAATTATTACACATGTATATGCTTAAATATATTTTGGTCGAAATGACCGATACGCGCCCATTAACATTTATCCCGTTAACGCGCCCACTCCCGGGTTAAAAAAAAAATGCACATCAATTTTGACGCCTATAGAGACATTATAGAATATCTATTCTTGGCCTTTGTCTTCGTAATGTTCTTTCCGATCCATTAATCATACTTGCATAAAATGTTGTAAAATAAATGTCCAAATCAATCATGCAAAAGAATGCGCAACGTGCGGTTCAAATTGTACGCTGCGACAAATAGACTGAACCGCGAATAACGAGCTCGATATCCACACGGTATTGTATTCGCTCTTTCTCTCTCCTTTTCTTTCTCTCTCTCCTTTAAAAAAAAGCGACGTTTCACGACATCCGCAAACTCATAAGACTCACCACAAAAAGTGCTCGTGTGTCGCGACTACAAAACAGCTCCATAAATAATTCATCCAACATCGACATTAACTGTGCCTTTTACGAGAGTAGTGTAAAACTGAGAAAACTTAATGAAAATCACTTAAAGTAAATCGACGCACTATCGACACACAATTGCGTCATTTTAACTTCGGTCTTGTACGATACAATATATAATATACACGTATACGTGTAACTGGGTATAGATGATTTGAAAACTCATCATCAACGAAGCATTGAACAGTCGTCTAGACGAGCTAACGAGACTACGTGTTCCGGTATCCTTATTTCAACAACGACATACTCGCAAAGTGAAATCAATTCGCTCGATATTTACGAGAGCGTGCTTGACCTATTAACTAACATACTACGCAACACCAATCCATTAAAAAATTTAACGTTAATCAGATGTTAATTCTGAAAGATAAAATAACCAGAAACCGAATTCATATAGAGTTATACGTTGACGAATAATAGGCTCCAAAAGATAAGCGCAAGAGTAACAGGTAAAACACCAAGTGCGTGAGAAAAAAAGTATTAAAATAAGTATCAAAGTAAGTAAATAAGCAAAAGTAGTGGAAACATATATACATTTAATTAGGCGTTCTCTAATAATAGACCCCAAAAGATAGCGGCATGACAAAAAAATGAAGATAAAATTTCAGATAAACGATGATAACAGATGAAATTTCAGATATACGAGAAAAAAATTTCAAATGCGTAACACTATTCTCCTATCCAAATAAGTCATCACGGTGGAAACTGTATTCCCATCCGATTATCCGTTCTCGAGTAATAAGTCCCAAAACATTGTCGAGAGACAGGTAGGTAAGAATTCAAGAAGGAAATTTCAAACAATTGGTCTGTTCTTTTCAGTTGCACTGCTGAACTGGTGTAATAAGTTAAAGTGAGAAAACATATACTTATCTCACTTCAATAGCGTATTCGAGTGGCTGTGGGGTACTATTCCGTACACGCTTACCTACAACTATCGGATAGGTAAGCATCGTTGCGCAGCTTTTCTATGGTATAAAAAAGCTGCGCAACGATGTCTACCGATCCGACAGTTGTCGGTAATGCAGGATTCACACCGCGTCCGATATCCAATAGGAGAACAGCTTTCTAATATAGAATTCAATTCTCCATTGGAAAGCTATTCTTTTATTGGATATCGGACATCGTACGTCGGACATCGGACGCGGTGTGAATCCTGCATAAGCGTGTACGGAATAGTATTAACCCTGGGTTAATCGCTTCTGAAGCGACAGTCACTCGAACACGCTATAACTTATTGCATCAGTTCAGCAGTGCATCTGAAAAGAACAGACCAAATGGGTAAAGTCGGAATCAGACTACGCACTGGAAATTGAGAATTGCGGACTCAAGATTTGACCAATTCGAACAAAACAAGCCAAAACTGAAGTTCGTTGATTCGTCGAAATCTAATCTTCACGGGCTTAAAGCCCGTAGCTGCGTTCCGAAATTCACTACCAGTGCTGAAATTCTATAATATACGTGATACAAACTATAGATTTTCAGTATTGGCAGTGAATTTCGGAACGCAGCCCGTGTCACACTACGGATTGGAGATAGAGGATTACGGATTGAAGATTTGAACTTGGCTAATTGGAGCTAATAAGCAGGCCAAGACCAAAGTGTATTGATTTGTCGAAATCAATCAACCCTCAATTTCCAGTCAGTAGGAGTGCGTTCAGATTCCCTACCCGGGTGCATTCTAATACTAGAAGTGCTATAGTATGTGTAACATATATTATAGTGTTTCTTGTAATAAAGTGCATCCGGATGAGGAATCTAAACGCAGCCTAGTGTGACATGGACTTTAAGCTCATGTTACACTATGGATTGGAAATTAAGTATTGCGGATTGAAGATTAGATTTCGACAAATCAATGCACTTTGGTCTTGACCTGCTTGGCTCCAATTGGTCAAGTTCCAATCTTCAATCTGCAACCTTTGACTATATAACCATGGACTGTTAGCGGCGATTCTAACGCTCTATGCACAATACCAAGCAACAGGCAATAGGAACAGGGAATAGGAAATCAGATTGGTCAATTATTTTTATTCCCTGTTCCTATTGGCTAATGTCTATTCCTATTGCCTGTTGCCTGGCATTGTGCATAGGGCTTAAACGTCTGTCAACATCTGTAGTGCCGCCAGGACCAAACAAAAGAAGGAACTTAGTAGAGCAAAACAATTAGCAACGTAAACGCTTCTAATATCCGCGTATCACATGGTGATAAGTATTAGAAAGACATAATAGTATAGAATAAAAAGAATTGGACTTTCTTGAAAACCACAAATACTTTATAACAAAATTAATTATAGAAAATTATGTTAAAATTGTTATGAATTATAAGGGAAAATTAATGAACCAAAAATGTCAATATATCAGACATAAATTAACAGAAATTATTTTATTTCAATGACAATAATATACCGTCATTTGGGATAACTTTTATATCGCTGATATGAAAGTTCTACCTCTATCCGTTTAATAATGCCACATGTTTTTGTAAGCCGTTGTTTTGTAATAGCCGTTGTTTGGTCCTGGCGACGTTGCAGATGTTGACAGACGTTTTGCTGCAGACACAAGTTAGCGACTAACAGTCCATGGTTATATAACCAAAGTTCCCAACTCTCTATCTCCAATCCGTAGTGTGACACGGGCTTAAGCATCTTCGCTTTATCAAGTAGTACTACTCAACGATAGGACAGACTTTTAGTCTGTTATTGTAAACAATATACGTAACGCTCTTATAAGTTGATAAAAAATATACTTTACTACTCGTTTAAAATATAGATATCAAATTCTATACGAAAAATATCTATACAATTTTTTTTTTTAATTTGTAACAAATTCTACAGATTTATGTGTCAGATTTTTCTATAACAGATATTCTACATATTTTCAGTACTGAAATATATTATTTTATAAAATATAGCAGAAAAACCTGTGAATGGTATAAAAGTTGTTCTAGTATTGTTAATAATTTTTAGGATTGTTACAATTGTGATACGTTAACGCGTTTGTAATTGTTTCTTTTTAAATTTATATAGGTATGGTGTTTATATAGAATTGTATGTGAGAGAAATACTTTTAAAGCATATAAAGTTTTATATCAAAATTAAAGATGACAAAGATGAAGGAGATTTTAATCGTTAGTTGTGGAAATTTAACGCTAAGTTGTCGACTGGACTAATGTGTGATCACACACACACACATATATATATATGAATGACATTTATATACTTTTTATAAGGCTCATTGTTACAATCAGGATTGATAATAATAGAACAAACAATAGACAATTATCAGTTAAAATTATTTCTAATATATATATTGTAAAACAATCTTGACAGAAATATCATTAATATTGATCACATGTTATTATCGAACAAATGCAAGAGATATAAATAACAGTATAAAATCAAATTTATATGAACACAGATGATACATGGATGGTACATGAATACATGAATGTTACTTAAATGACATATCCTGATAAGAAGTTTAATATTGTAGAATTAAATTTCCTGGGTACTGCATTTCTGGGTAGAATCTAGTAAATAACATTGTGTAACCATTAATTTTCATAATATTAATTTTTATCATATCACCAATTTTTATCATATTAATATGACTTCTCATTTTCAATAAGATAATTATTATGTATAAGTACAAGTATTATGTACTTACATGAGTAAAAGTAACTTAATAGATGATTATGTATTTAATATAATTGATGTATTTAATTCTAATATAATTGTTATGTATTTAATATAATTGATGTAATATTACTGTTTTGATATTTATTGGGCAAGAAGGCTATAGTATCAACACTGGATAAATATATTCAAGTAAATTGTTAATTACCATAGAAACAAATACCTTAGGCAATAAATCATTTTAGTAATTGGCAAAATTTGCTTAAGAAAATCACACTAGTATTATTTAATGGTATATCTATATATCATTAATGCAGGAACATATTCTTTATGTAATATGTAATTACTCTTAACATGTCATTCTTCATGTGAACGTGTAATTCACAGCATATTTGAAAAACACAGTAGGTAGTAAACTATGTCTCTCTTTCAGGCCAAAAGCCAAGCAGCAGCAGCATGTATTGGAACTTCAGCAACATATCCATCATATCATGCAGCATATCAACAAAAAACATACCTCTTCTGCTTTAGAAAACAAGGATGCTAATTGCTGATTTCATAGGTATATTGTTTGCTAAATTATATTGTTATGTGATCTAATGTGTCAACCTGATGAAACAATGAAGATTAGGGGCGTTTGATTTCACTCTTAATTACTGTATACAAATTGCGAACGCAGTTAAATAGTTTTGTAATAACGAAAAAAAAGGAAGAAAGAATTCAAATAGATCCTCGCACGTTTCTAAAATAATTTATTATTAACATATATCGGATATATATCATATTGAACGATATTTGTAAGGGAGTCAACCCTTTATCTTTTTATACTGATTGGTGTTTAAAATTATACACAGAATCTCTGAAATCAGATATATAAAAAAGAATCTTTTGCTATAGTGTAATGATGATTTTGCAAGACAATAATATCAATCATTCTTGTAATCTATTAATGTGTAAGATCTATTAATGTAAAATCAATTATATTCTTGCAAATCTTTAATGCAAAATCTCTGGTAACAGAATCACGTGAGGTTTCTCCAAAAGAGACAAAAGCCAAAAATTTTCAGGCACGTTATCGCGGTTGTTTCTACATATAAGGAATTCCTCAGCTTTGTAGGCTCGATAAATTCGTTAATTCGACTATTTGATTGAAAAGAATTGATTTAATTTGGCACAATTTGAAAAAAAATATTATTTCAATATAAGACTATAGTTCTTCGTTTTCGACAGGTCGAGCTAAGTTGAAGTCGAGGATTTCGTCCGACGTCAGGAAACGCACATCGCTGTCCTCCGAGAGCGCCGAGCCGTTTCCTCTCTTGTAAGTCTTTCTCCTCCTGATGACAACGATAGTGATCATGAGCGTCAAAGAGAACACGATCACAGTTGCGCTCACTATGCTAACGACTAGCGGATCGAATCTGCTGTCGTGCTTCACCTTCTCCGGATTCTGTTCTTCACTGTGCAGTTCTGTAAACGTTTCTCGTCAGTAACACCATTCTATGTTAAACACACTTCAGAGTTCCCCACTCGGATTCTTTTTTCATAATCGGATTAATCATCTACGTTACACGTATGAGCATTACCAGATCGATCCTGAAGTTCCATGTATTTTGTTGTCAAAGTCCTGGATGCGAAGGTCGTTTCCCTCGTTCCCGTCTGATTTCGTCTAACGGTCGTTGACGTCGTTGTCCGTTTCGGCGGTTTTGTAGTTGCACGCTTGTTCGGTGTTGTCATGGTCACAATAGGTTTTCGTGTGGTCGTCGACGATGAGTTCGACATGGCTGGATCGATGTAATCCTTTGGATTGATATAGATCGGATCACGCATTGGTGGGTGGGTCGTAGTATTCGTACTATTTGCATTGTATGGTCTCAGAGTCACCTGCCGAGTCGTGGAAATCATCTGTTTGGTTTCGTAGGTCGATGTAGCCGTCGTCTCAGTGAAACTGAATACTGTGTGATTGCAAGAAATTATTTTAAGAATCTCTCGCACATAAGTTTTTTTATATTAATCCTGCAATTCTAAGCAAATATACGAGTAAATTGTAAAGTCGTAGCTTACGGAAAAAACAAAAAAATCGTAGATATTTATGAGTTATTATATGACATACAGTCCGCATAGAATTGCAGATCTACTCATAAGTTCTTGCAAGTTTTACGAAAACAAGTTATGAGTTTTACGATTTTGTCTAGAATTGCAGTATAAATCGACAAAGAGAGATCTTCAGCTTGAAAATTATCGTATCACATCCGATTGAATTACAGCAGTAAACTCAGCTCGACAAAGCACAAGTATAAAACAAACTAAACAGTTACCTGCAGTACAGTATTCTTCGTAATCCGGGCAACAAATCGAACGTTCCGCACAATCAAACGTACAATAACAATTTTCCGGCCTGAATTTGGGGGTGGTAACGATCTCTGCCATGGAATACACACATCTACCTCGGCAGGTTTGTTGCGCGTTGACTATCTCGACTTGATCTGTGAGAGACATGTTTTTCTCAGAAGAAAATTTAGTAAATTTCATTCTTCTATCATTATTACGGTGAATAGCTCACGTTTCTTTTGAGCTAAACACTTTTATCAAAAAGAAATGAAAAATTTTATTTGCAACCTCTTTTCCTAGTTCTTTTTCCTTTTTTTCTATAATAATTGCATAATCTTTCTTAACATATCTTGTAGCGCGCGCTTGCAATTAACACAAGATACAGATTATATATATTGAGTTCTCGAATCAACTTGAGAAGTAAACTTACCATCGTTGCTCACAGTTGCATTGGTAGAGTTGTTTTTAACGATACAATCATCCCCTTGTAAAATAGCCACGTCATCTATCGCGATGTCGCTCACGTAGCTCAAACCTCGTACACCCTCTATAATAATCTGCGAAGGATTTTTAAGGTGTATAACCAAGTTAATTTTATCATTTTAAAAAGTATGTACCAAACCAAATTACAAACGCATACCTGAAAGCTAACATTACTTTTCGGCAGATCGAAGATACCTTGTAACCATTGATTCCCCTGATTTCCGTTTTTACTAAACATTAGTGTCCACGTACTAATCGTCTCATACTTAAAATATATATTTAATGTACCAATTGTAATACCATACATGTGATACCTGTAAACAAACACGCACGTGTCAAAAGAATTTATAGGAAATTTTTTTTCGTAAAAAGAAACACAAGAGAGAATATCTGAATATTAAATAGAATATTATATAGATTATTTATCTTGACAAGATGCAAACCAAACGTCTAAATGATTCTCCATAAATTTCTTCCTTCGCTCTTTGACAAATCCATATTTACAAATTTATCTCCTATTATATGTTTATTTAAAAATATTTCAAAATTTCACTTACGTCTCCAGAATAAAGACATAAAATAGCACAAAATATAAAACAACGTGTAATTCGTACAATAGAAGAAACGTTCTCATTTATATTTAATTACGTACTCACCAGAACGAAAAACATCCCGACTCGGTCAGGGAAGAATTGAATAGAGGAGATATGATTCTTGCCGTATCGTTCACCAGTTGCCCGGATGCTTCGGTATAAAGATAATGGCCTGGAATCAACTCGAGCGTATATACATTCGCATATATTATAGATACATTTAATAATTAATTTCTTTTTCTTTTGACATCTTGCAACCTCCCAATGTCTTCGTATGAAAATACGTACCGTCGTTTCCAGCTCCAAAAGTATGATCATATGTTGGACCTGTGTTGATGAACGATCTCGACGTCGCGAAATTGTGGCGTCTCCAGTCGAAATCTTGATGTGGGTCCGGCTCCCACATACAAAGATCTACATTCTCGAAGTCGCACTTCGTCGGCGGGGGTACGGTCGAGTCTTCCCGTGAAATATGTTGCATTAACGCACACGAGAGTCGTAAGAAACGTTATCGCATTAGAAGAAAAATATAATCAAGTTAAATACAATTAAAGAGCAAGAGAAGAAGAAAGAAAAATAAAAACGCGATAGCGTCACCGGATTAATATTATTATTATAAACTGAACAATATCGTGGTATGTTCAATTTTCTTATAAGTAAAAATTTTTCAGGTAATACGTACTTGCGCCATCGATTGACAAGGCGGGAAATAATTAAACGAAGATAAAAATACCGTGCGTAATACCTCGACAAGAAGGAGTCGTTCCATTCCAATTGCGGCCGTCACAGTATATCTCAACTGAGCCAACTAAACTGTAACCAGGTTCGCAAAAGAACATCAATATCCCGCCGTCCAATTTTGAGGCCACGAATGTGTGAGGCGGTGTCGGCGGTGGAGTGCATCTCGTGCCTAAACAAGTAAGTTGCAAGCGGTCATTCACAATCGTATTATTATTTCTTCGTTACCACACTGATATTGCTACGTATACACACGGAAAAAGTACTTGGTGTATATAAAACTGACTTTCTCAACTGTTATCTCAAGACTAAGCAAAAATTCGCATACATTTTCTTGAAACTATAGCTTTTCATAAAACGAATTATTTATTCTATTTAAATGAAAGAATTTATATTTAAATAAATATGTTATCAAATCTACCAAATAAAAATTTTTTTTATTGTTTAGAAATCTTTTGTGTCTCAGTGTAGATACAGAAAAATTTCTGTAGGAACTTTCTGTCTAATCTGTCTAATCAATTGTTCTCAGTTGTCTTAAACAAATTTTAATGTAGCCGAATGTTTACAGATAAATGTTTTTAAGATATCTTCTTTTGTTATTGAGAGAATTTTCTTCTAATCAGTTACACGACTGAGATTTCTTTTCCGTGCATATGTTGCTGTGCACAGACATTCGCTTCAAATAGATAAAATTTTGTTCAAAAATGGATTTGAAGCATGTTATTTAAAACGAGTTGTGTCATGTCGTGTCACTTTGTGTTCATTGCAGAGTTCATTGACTCTACTTACTCACGCACACGGGAACAGGTGTGTCCCATTTGCCATGTATACATGAGGCGTATCTGTTGCCCACGAGGATGTATCCATCAAAACAGTCGAACCTCATAATCCGACCTCTCGCCCTAATACGCACTTTGCCGTTGACTAACCGTACCGCAGGACATCGGCCTGTAATGTTACGCACCACACTGTTAATACATTTTATATATTTTTCAATGAGTAGATCAACGATAATATCGATTTCACGAAGCAGCATGCAACAGAACGTAATGAAATAAATCGCTGACAACGCATGCATTTTGCGCAACGAAATTTATCAATTTTATTACGGTCACTCTTTTTTATTGAAAGCTCGTAAAAGTTTATCGATTTTCTAGCTATATTTCTTTTATTAATAATAACGAGACGACACATACAATACTTAATCAAAATATTTGCTGTTACTATTAGCCACTTTTTTTCTGTCACTTTTCAAGTAATTGTTTGATTCCGCGTCTGTGAATTGACTCATCTATCAGCCAATAAAATCATCGACGATCAAAGCAAGCTCTTAATAAAAATCGTTGTAGAGGATAATAATCGATTTTTTATCGCGAAGAAAATATCCTGTCACACGCGCGAGTGACATTCACCGAGTATCGCAGTCACTTCTTACATAGGTCTTGTCGGTTTTGTCTTATATTTGTGTAATATTTATGTATTATTTTCTGTATTATTCTCATTATTTCTGCTTACTAAACGACGGCCAAGAACAGATGACATACTGGCCGAAGAAGGCAGACAACAGCAAAATGATGGAGCAAAACTTCATTCTGATGTGTAGAATAAACACTTAAACACAAAATTTGCGGCCCAACGGATTGTGAGAATTATTGGTTGAGTGCCTATTAGATCTTTCCTACGAGATAAACTAACGCAATGGTATGTCTTAGGAACAAGATAATTCCGAGAAGAATAGCGAATGCACGTGTCGCGTGTCGCGTTTAGTTGGTAGTTGAAGTTGATGGAAAATTGAATCTACGTCGTTGAGTGCGGTGAGGACATGACTGGAGAACCAAGATTCAACCTTCTCCGAACTTTCGATTTCTCAGTAACGAGGGCGGCAACGCAGCTTCCGTTGGTGCGGGAGTGATAGCTCTATCGTCTTCCGGCGCATTATCATCATTCAGCGATGCGTGACAGGCCTTGAGAAATATTCCTGGAACTTGCACTTCGCGAAAGATATATCTGGCGCCAAGCAAGGTGACCGTATGTCTCTATAGCTGGGTTCAGCAGAACGAAACGCTTAGTAAGCGATCAGCGACTCGAAAATTTAATTAATGTATACTTTTAAATGTCAGTGAAAACTGTATGTAATAATCAAATTCGTTAATTACTATATATCGCTATATAATCTCTTATTAAGCTTTTTATTCTGCTGAATGCAATTGATGTAATGGAGATTCAACGAGTTCATTGCTCAGTAACTATCGTAGAAATTAAGAAAATTACAAACCGGTATGATAAAACGCGTATTTTTGCCTAAATATAATAAATTTGTTAATTTATATCAATTTCATTGATTCACTTATACGTATTTTAACCATAATATTTTGTTTAAAAAAATCATATTATTAAGTTACATATGAAGCATAAAAAATACGAGTATAAAAAATGCGAGTATAAAAAATATAAATTATATACTACAGTTAATATAAAAAATATAAATTATTATATTAGTTAGTATAAAAAATATAAATTATATACTACAGTTGATATACGCGAACTATATTTTCGTGTAATCTTTGTTCTTTAAATTTAAAATTTACGAAAGACTGAATATACGTTTTTCAAGCCGAAATAAAATATTTGTCGAAAAAGAATTATTTACAAATTGGCATGAAAATTTAATTTAAATAATTTAATAATTTAATTTAAATATTTTAATTTTAAAATTTAATTTAAATAATTTAATAATTTAATTTAAATAAATTTAAATAAAATTCTTGCGAATTCCGAAATTCTTTTGTTAATATATTGACATATTCATTTACTTATATTTATTTAATAATAATTGGTAATATTTAAAGCCTATTTAAGAAAATTGTATGAGAACTCTACTTACTCGATTAACTCTAGTTTTTATTCATAATTATTACACCCAATATTTCGAGAAACAACATAAAATCGTCAATATCAAAAAAACAATATAACGATAGAAATTTTGTACTATTTAAATAGCACTGGTTAATAGATAAATGAAAAATCTCAAAGGTATATTTTCGTAAAATATATATTTTTACAGTTCCTAACAAAATAATTCCTAAGATTCATTTGGAAACTTTTGATAGAACTAAGCTTTATACTTCTCTTACGAGAAGCAAAAGCGAAGCCTCTTTAGCTCAGTGGTAGAGCACTGGTCTCGTAAACCAGGGGTCGTGAGTTCAAACCTCACAGGAGGCAATTATTTTTTTCTTGCTCCTATTACTAATACTCTCTATTATATATCAGCTGTTTTTATATTTTTTCTCAACGATTATAGATAAACCGAAAATAATAAGTAACTTTTCATATTGACAATTTAAATTTAATGTTTTGAAGTTTACAAATTGAAAAATTTAAATGTAAAACTTTAAATTGAAGAGTTTTAATTTGTAAAAATTGAATACCTCAAAGATTAAAATGTAATTTAGAAGTTTAATACGAAAATTAGATTTGTTCTTGTTAAAGAAATAGCGAGATTTTGAAAGAAGGAACAAAAAGTGCAGCTAAAAAAATGCAATCTTCTCTGTTCCTAGGTATGTTCTTTTCAGCTGCACTGTAGCACTGGTGCAATAAGTTAGAGTGAGACAAATATATTTTATTTCACTGTAGCTTATTGCACCAGTGTAGCAGTGCAGTTGAAAAGAATAGACGACTTGTCTGGCGCCGAGAGTACAATCGCCGAACCATTATTCCGCCAAACGCGAATCGGTCTGCAGGTATTGCGTCAGTATACGTTAGCCGGCATCTTGTAAAGCATTTTCGCTATCCAAAGTGATAAACGATAGACAAAATGGATAACGACTTACCATATCGAGTCGAATATGCAAAAAGCGATCGTTCTAGTTGTCAAGCATGCAAAAAATCAATCAGTAAATTGAGTTTAAGACTTGCAACTGTTGTTCAGGTAACAGTTTCAATGTAACAAAGAAACTTAGCGTGAATTCTCGCACCTAATAATAATAGACACTACCAGGCGTCCGCGACACCTTTTATTGCAATATTGTTAAATAAACCGTGATAATTCTCTTAGTTTTATAGTTAGTTGTACACTGCACATGTAGAAAAGAAATGTACGTAATTGTACATTGTAATATTTTTTATTTGGTTATGTTATAGTATACATACATAAAATATTATTTTCAACATAATTCTGTGATTTGTATGATTATATCAGCGACACGTATCAAACTAAAGTTTATTCACACTTAATTTGCTTATTTACATCAAACATAGGTTATGATAAAACAAGTATGTTAAGTAAGTTACTGTTTGCTTAAGAATTTTGATAAATGTTATTTTATTTGTATTAATATAAAATTAATATTTTAATTATCCGATATATTGCATTTAAACAGTGAACCAAATTGATACAACTAATTATATTTTATTAATTAGTAAGTTTGGCTGCTTACTAAGAAGAAATTTAATATTGCTATAAAAATATTTTTCTGATATCTTTAGAGTCCAGTTCACGATGGCAAGATACCTAGATGGTATCATGCCAACTGTTTTTTTCTAAAACAAAGACCAAAGTCTACTGCTGATATAGATTGTTTTGATCAGATTCGTAACGAAGATCAAGAACAAATAAAAAAGAAACTTGGTATATATATTGATTAATACATAATTCATCAACATATATGTAATTTATATCATATTACTTTAACTTTTAAATTTTCAACTACAGAGGAAGCTCTTAAAGCACCTCCTGTTTCTGGAAAAGGAAAGAAAAGAGCAAATGCTGCAAAAAGTGGCTCTGGCGATTTCAAAGTAGAATATGCCAAGTCTAATAAGTCTACTTGCAAAGGATGTGAAGAAAAGATAATAAAGGGTGAAACAAGAATATCAAAAAAAGATTTTGAAAGTGCTGAAGCTAGAAAATACGGTGGTATAGACAGGTGGTATCATGTGGAATGTTTTGCAAAATTGAGGGCAGAGTTAGAATATTATGGAAAAGGAGATGAACTTTCAGGTATAAACACTCTCTCCAAAGAAGATCAAAAAAGCCTCAAAACTGCATTATTTAAAATTAATCAAGGTAAGAGGGAAGACTGAGAGTTAAAATATATTTAACAGTTTTACAGCAAGAACTCTCTTAATTAGGATTGCTTTTTTTTTTAATTATATCTATATTCTACTATATTTTGACTTAAACGGATGTTAAAAAAACTAGATAAAATAAATTAATAGAACTTTTGTTATATTCTTAATTATAATTTCAGATGACATCCCACCTCCTGTAAAAAAAATTAAAAACGAACCAGAAGACACTGAAAAAGAGGAATTGAGAAAAAAACAGAATGATGAACTGTATGCTGTACAAGATCAAATATCGATTCTTGACAAAAAGGAATTGATCGCGATATTAGAAAAAAATCATCAACAAGTTCCATCTGGTACATCAAATGTAAGTTACTGTAATACACACACATATTGTTGTAATATTACTTTAATATTATTTTTCATTATAAAATTACATGTTGCAATAAATGTCTCTATTTATTATGTCACTTCAATTTCAATTACAGATCTTGAACCTTGTGTCTGATATATTATATTTTGGAGCTTTGGATCCCTGTCCACAGTGTAAAGGACAACTCCTATATAATTCTGGTTTGGGTTACAAATGCACCGGCAATGTAACAGAGTGGACTAAATGCGAGTATGTTACGCAAGAGCCAAAAAGAAAGAAGTGTGAAATACCAAGCGACCTAAAGAAAAATTTCCCAATTAAGTAAGTCTTTAGGAATATATTTATGAAAATCATAAATTATTCTCTGTTATTAAGTAGAAAAATCATGTAATGTAAAAATATACAATATGTATTCTCTTATTTTATTTCAGATCGTACAAATCTAAAGTAAAAAAACGACAGTTTCAAGTTACAGCACCATCCTCTTCGAGCTCTGTGAAGAAGGAACAGGATGATGTAGATGGACCAAAAGTGCAAGGAAAGCCGCGTCCTTTGAAGAACATGCAGTTCGTTATTTTGGGTCGCATAGAAAAGGATAAGGAGGAATTAAAGAGGGAAATTTTACTGTTAGGTGGTACCGTTGGAACGAAAATTCACAAAGATCTAACCGCAATAATATCTACTTCGAAAGAAGTGGAGAAAATGAGCAAAAGAATGGAGGACGTTCAGTCGCTCGACATTCAAGTTATAACGGAAGATTTTGTGGAAGAAGCGAAAGAGTACACGGAAGCGCCCATTATGCTTTTAAAGAAAAAAACCATCTCGAGCTGGGGTGGTGATATAAATGCTAGAATTTCTAATGTCGCGAAATCCAACGCTTCCAAAAGCAAGAGCAAATTTGAAAAATCCGGCAAAGTGAAATTACGAATAAAAGGTGGTGGTGCTGTTGACCCTGACAGCGGCATGGACGATTGCACACATATTTATCAAAGAGGCAAAGACAAATATGACATAACATTAGGGCTGACGGATATACAATCCAAGAAAAACAGTTACTATAAAATGCAAATTTTGAAACACGATCAGCATAGTAGATATTACTTGTTCAGAAGTTGGGGTCGAATTGGCACTACAATTGGCGGCAATAAACTGGATTCATTGTCTTCAGAAGAATGTATTGAGCAATTCGAAGCGTTGTTCGAGGAGAAGACAGGTAATCAGTGGAAGACTAGAGAACACTTCGTTAAAGTACCGAACCGGATGTATCCAATCGAATTAGATCACGGAGACGAGGAGATTGCCTCTTTAGATTCAGACATTAAGAGCAACTTGCAAAAGCCTATTCAAGATTTAATGCGCCTTATTTTCGATGTAGCTAATATGAAGAAAGTTATGTTGGAGTTCGAGATAGATATGGACAAGATGCCACTCGGGAAACTGTCCAAGAAGCAGATCGAAGAGGCATATGCGGTCTTAACAGTATTGCAAAATGAACTTAAGAAGGAGAGCGGTAATACAGAGCGTATCAAGTTGATTGACGCTTCCAACAAATTTTACACTCTGATACCTCACAATTGCGGAGTCTCTGATCTGAAGCCTCTCGAGACGCTGGAGGAGATCAAGAATAAGTGCGATATGTTAGACGCGCTGCTCGAGATGGAGATTGCCTACAATCTTTTACGCGACAAGACCGACGCGAAGGAGAACCCGCTCGATAATCACTACAAGCAACTCAAGACGGAGATCGACGTGTTGGATAAGAAGAGCGAAGAGTTCAAGATGATAGAACAATATGTCAAGAACACGCACGCGACGACTCACACGCAATACGAGCTTGAGATTGAGGATGTGTTCGTGGTCAAGAGACAAGGCGAGGAACAGCGGTACAAGCCTTTCAAGAAATTGTCGAATAGAAAACTACTCTGGCACGGCTCCAGGACCACGAATTTCGCGGGAATATTGTCCCAAGGTTTGCGTATCGCGCCACCGGAAGCGCCCGTTACCGGTTATATGTTCGGCAAGGGTATTTATTTTGCCGACATGGTGTCCAAATCCGCGAATTATTGCTGTACGAACAGCGCGAATTCCACTGGACTGTTGCTACTTTGTGAGGTCGCCTTGGGAAATATGTACGAGAGATATCAAGCAGACTATATCGAAAAGCTGCCAAAGGGTAAACACTCGACGATCGGTCGCGGTCAGACACAACCCAACCCCGAGAATGTCTACAAGACTAAGGACGGCGTCGAAGTGCCTTATGGCATGGCAGCACCTACTAATGTTAAGAAATCAGCATTATTGTACAACGAGTACATCGTATACGACGTTGCTCAGGTAAAAGTGCGATATTTATTAAAGATGAACTTCAAGTACAAATATTAATTACGATATTTGAACATAATACAAAACATAAATTACATGGTTGAGTAACCTCAACTCTTCGGAGATGAGCTTTGACACATTTCCAATTTGAGATATTTGTTATGAATTCCAGTTTCATGTGTTTTGAGTGTTGTGCTATATTTCATTTTATTTTTGACAAAAACTTATTCATATATCGACGATTTGTTAAACATACCAAATAGCTTCTACTACCTCGAATACTCTACCTGTAAGATTACACAATAAATTTTGCAATAAAATTATGCTTGTTTTCTCGTGCTGTCTTTAATTGTAATGATAATTAAGAGGAAAATAATGTAAGAGTGCGGCTGATTATCCGTTGAGTTGTACTACTTGAGATATAGGGCTGCGTTCAGATTTCCCACCCAGAGGGTAATTGCTGAGTGATCGGGTGGGTAGGCGGAACTAGCGAAAAGTTCCCGAGTGGTTTGTGGAATTTGAACGCACTTGAAGTCACTCTATCTCTTTACATGAACATTTGCATATATAACCCTTATAGAAATATCATACTAAGAATCATTGATAATTACTTATTTTCAGTATTAAAAATACTGGATAATAAGTAATTATCAATGATTCTTAGTATATTTCTATAAGGGAAGCTTATGAGCTTATTTTTAAAGGCTCGTTTATCGTTAAAAGAGAATACGGGTAGATTATTTATATTTTACGCGTAAATGTCCTACCCTGTCTTAAATATTGAAATGTTGTAATAACCATACTAAAAATTTGTAGTGTACTTACTTTAAATATCTCTTTCTCTCTCCGAATTATTCTTTCACACAATAATCTACACGATAATCCTTTAGTCCCGATCTACAATAGGTGTAGTAAGCTTTAAACTTTAAGAAATTGACCAATCATAGTCGAATTATAGAAGAATAATCAATCGTGATTACTTACGGCTTAAAATTTACTACACCTATTGTAGATCGGGACTTATGCAGGATTCACACTGTGTTCGATGTCTGATGTACGACGTCCAATATCCAATAGGAGAACAGCTTTCTAATATAAAATTCAATTCTCCAATTCTTCAATTGGAAAACTATTCTTTTATTGGATATCGGACGTCGGACATTGGGCGCGGTGTGAATCCTGCATTAGGCTGCGTTCCGAAATTCTCTGCCATTGAATTCTATAATATACGTGACATAAACTATAGATTTTCAGTACTGGCAGTGCATTTCGAAACGCAGCCATCGTACAGGAAAAAGTCTGACGTCATCACTACCCGTTCCACCTGCCTCAAGGACCTGTGTGATTTTTCCTAGAGAGCTTCATTGACTAAGTTTTCACCGAGAGTTCAAATCGGGTCAGAGTCGAGTTGAGGTGAGCGATCTTACGGTGGAAACACCAAATCTGAAGTTGAACCCTACCTAATAAAATTTTAAGGTAGAGTCCAAATGAGGTTCAATGGAAACGACAAGAGTTGAGGTTATTGTAATCTTGCCAGAACCAATATAACCTTATATGTCAGGAGGCATGGACATAAGAATATGTGGACGGAGCATATTGTCGCGAGGGTGAAGCCCAAAGGGTGAGGGGAATGATTGTATGCTAATAAAGTTGACATATCATGATAGCGACGGTCGCTGTTTTTATACATAGGCAATAGAAACTTCTGACAACATGATAGCCACGACGATATAATCCTCTCACCCCTTGGACTTCACAGGCCCTCGTCTATAATTGCACTTTGCGTTCTGTCCATATATTCTTACGTCCATGGTAAAGTCGAATTCGCTAAAACTATTAAAGAAAGAATTAAAATGGCTGTAAATAATAAATTCGTCGAAAAAACGCATGTTTTAATAAAAGATAATAATGGGATTCCGTTGAAAGAAAATAAACAATATAACTTTTTTACTTTCCATGTTTATAAAGGTTGTGTTCCAAAATTCACGGCCAGCACTGCAAAGTTATAGTTTGGCTGCGTTCCGAAATTTATTGCCAGTGCTGAAATTCTATAGTATACGTTACATGAACTATAGATTTTCAGTACTGGCAATGAATTTCAGAACGCAGCCTCTATGTTAAAGCCCTTGCAGAATGCCAGGCAATAGGAATTCGGATTGGTCAATTATTTCTATTTTCTGTTTCTATTGGCTAATGCTTATTTCTATTGCCTAGTATTGTGCAAGGACCTTTACATATATTATAGGCCGATATTCATAGTCCGATCTTATATTTAAGACCGCTTAAGTTTATCTTCAGATGATGTACGGGTTATTTCATTGCCTACGGAGTATCTGAAGATGAACTTAAGCAATCTTAAATATAAGATCTGACTATGAATACTGGCCATAGAGTCTGTTTTCTATTGCTGAACTGACTGCACTAATTCTCTCTAATCTTTCTTCCACAAAGTTTTATCTGTATATCTGTCTCTTTTTTGTTCTGAAAGTACACTAATTCAGCAATAGAAAACAGGCCCATAGATTTTCAGCGCTATTAGCAGTTACCAGTAATGTTAAAACAAGCTTATATCTAGATTTTCTCTCTCTCTCTCTTTCCCTCGGGGCATGTATGCATTCCTGGATCGCCGAACAAAGATTACCTAGCTTACCTTTGCCGTTTTAAATCTGGTAAGCGGACAAAATCCACAAAAAAGAGGGGATAACGTTGACGACGTTCAAAAGTCTCTAGGATCCATAAATTTATTTCTGAAGGTTATAATTGTTGGACGTTAGGAGGGTGTACAGAAGTGTAAATTTGTGACAGGTTAACTCTACACCTCTGTATACTCTCCTAACGTCCAATGATATTAATCTTCAGAAATGATATTGATCTTAACAATGATATTAATCTTCAGAAATGAATTTATGGATCCTTTTGAACGTTGCCAAAGTTATCCCCTCTCTTTTTATGGATTTTGTCCGCTTACCTTAAATCTATTTCACTTGGATAACTTATTCTACGTCTTACCTCCACTGCCATAGGTTCAATCGGGTCGACCAAGTAAAGTTTTGGAACGCAGCCCAATGGGCTTCTTGCAATTCTCACCGACTTATCCACCGGTTTAAACATTTGAACTTACCGCCAAGACTCAAGACCATAGGTCTGTTCTTTCGCTTTGCACTACTGCACTAGTGCAATAAGTTAGAGTGAAACAAATGTATATTTGTCTTATGGCTCCTGCACACAGGACGCGGTAATGCTTGCCGCGCGGCGGAAGTCCGTGCGACAGCTAATCAATATGTTGTTTTCCGTAAGAGCTAGAAGATTATTACGGAAAGCAGCATATTAATTGGCTGTCGCGCGAATTTCCGCCGCGCGGCAAGCATTACTGCGTCCTGTGTGCAGAGCTATTACTTTAACTTGTTGCAGCAGTGCAGAGCGAAAGAACAAATCTCATGTGACCATCTGTCTACTTTTATGTTTCTAAAGTTGGCAATGGGCTTAGCCCGGAGCCATCGGAATGGAATCTCACTGATTTTTATTTGTTCTGCAAAGGAACGGATCTAAAAAATCAATATACTCCTTATTTTCGAGCAAAATAACGAACAAAATATTTGTAGTAATACACCCTTGACTTAGACATCTTATTTGGTCACATAAAAATTATAAATTACAAGTCTGCAGAAATGTTGCGGCAGGAGCCTACGCCATACGACTTAGCATATCGCGGTAAAACCGCGGCCGTGAAGATCCTGCTGAACGAAAACGAGAAGCTGAAAACACAAACAGATAATGTTTGTATCATCGTGTCATTTGCTCATGATGTCCGAATGATTTGAGGTTAGCTTATACCTCTTCCTTGCAGAACGACCGAATGCTGATACATTGGGCGGCGTTGGGTGGTCACGATGATCTGGTCCGACATTTGCTCTCCCTCGATGTACCGGTGGATCCTACGGATGACGTAAGCAAATGATTGCATATTGAATTTACAGAAGCGCAACATTTCTATTATTTCATGCTGAAATTATATTTCCCTCTTATTATTTCGCATAAATGAATCATGGTTACTGCAAACACACGACACAGTCAATAACACACTTAACCGAAAAGATTTATTTTTACATGCGAAATTATATGCAACTGTGAAAAGAACTTTTATTATCAAAATACATTATAAAATATTTGATAATTATTACGAATTTTCCATTACGCTTCAGGAGAGTGTATCTACGTTTAAATCGAGTCCATTCTTGTGTGTCTCAAAAGGATAAATACATCTTGACAAAAATCGCAAAACTTGCGGTGTGTCTCTTAATTTTCAATCGATTCGAAAAACGTTTACAAAGCAAACTCATTTGAACAAAGCCCTAGCATTCTCGAGAACAGAGTTTTACACAATAATTCCCTTTACTTCTCAACCGGAATAAAGAAACGATCGTCGATCGCAAACGCATCGAAAAAAAAGATGGAAATCTTAATAACACATACACACTTGATGACATATGTATATATATAATTATATTATAATTTTTCCATAGATCATTTATAAGAAAAAAGAAAAAGAAAAACTTATAAGAAAATAAGTATAAAGCGTACGCCCGAAATGCATCGCGCACTGTTACAATCCGCATTACTTATCGTCTCGTTTCTACGCGTGACGCACAAAGTCGCGAGCAAAAAGCTTCGTTTTCGTTTGCCACCGGCCGGTCCTCGAGCCTTACTGCAACGAGACAAATCTACGTGAGACCGCTCAAACGGTCTGTTTCGTAAAACGCAGACAGACATGACTCCGCTGATCCTGGCGGCGTCTGCCGGTCGCGAGAAGGTCGTCAACACGCTGCTGAACGAGGGAGCGAACGTGAACGCGACGACGGTCGACGGTCACTCGGCTCTACAGTACGCCGCGTCGAAGAATTGGAAGTCCATCTGCGTGGCGTTGCTCGAGAAGGACGCCGACGTGAACATCGCGGACAAACGGGGCGCCACGCCTCTGCACAGGTCCGCCTCGAAAGGCAACACGGCCATCGTGAAGCTCCTCGTAGAGTACGGGAAGAATTTGGATATAGGTAGGTAGCGGAATATACGCCTTCTCCTCTTTCCCTCTCAGTATATGTGTACGTGTGTATGTGTCTGGCGATTTGTGTCTGTGTGTCTGTTATTGAAATGCATTCGCGCACGCAGCGCAATTACAATATAATAATATATAAAATATCAAATATATACATACACATACGCATATATATATCTGATAGTATAACCTAAATGTACATTTTGCTTCAATACGGGTTGAATACTTTTTCCTTAATGCAGTTTTGAACGCAGCCGTTGGGGGGGCAGGAGGGAGAGTAATGAACTTATTTTCACTTAATTCAAAAGTCATGTAGTTATGTTCTCTTATTAAGTCATTAATTTTTCCAACGTGCATGACGAAAAAAAGGTATTCGAACTGTATTGAAACCAAGTGTACAAGTTTTCGTTCATGCCGACGACACTGCACAATCTCGTTTCGTTTCATTTACACGCTGTCGTCGTCGTCGTCGTCGTCGTCGTCGCTTTCAGATCGGAGGGACGCGTATGGTAATACGCCGTTGCATCTCGCTTGCGAGGAGGACCGCGTGGATGAGGCGAAGCTGCTGGCGGCGAACGGCGCGGACCCAACGATCACCAATAAGGACCGCAAGACTCCGTTGGATCTCGCGAGTCTCGGTCTGGTCCGGCAGCTCGAGGAAATCAAGCGAGAGACTACGTCGAAGTAGAAAGCGCACTTGCCGTTTCTCAATATTTTTTTATCTCTCCGTGCGAAAGTGGCGCTTTAAGTTTCGTTAAATAAGTCCTTAATAAATTCATCATGATTAAGTTTTCCTTCTACAGAATTTATTTTATCCCTCTCTCTCTCTCTCGTTCTCTCTGTCTCTTTCTCTCTCTTTCAATCTCTCTCTCCCTCACATTCTCTTTTTATATATTTATATATATATACGTAAAATACGATCAACATTTGCGTTCGTACTATATAAAATGTATCAAAAGTCCTCTCTCTCCTCAGTATTCGACTAATCCTTTCTTATTTTTCTCGCTGTTTCGCGCCCTTTGGCTCTCTCTCTCTTTCTCTATTAATCTACCTTACTCGCCATCGGCACTACTACTGCGTGTCAATTAACTGAACTCTCACGGGAGACGATCATTATCTCGTCACGATTAATCTTAAGGCCGGAAACGCCGCGGGAAATTGTCGAAATGACTTTTGATTTTGATCGTGGAGCTGGTCGTACTCGCGGACGCGGCGAGACGTCAGTTGATCCGTGTTACGCGTCGAATCGTCGAACAGAAAAGCCAACCACCCTCTCGACGGACGTATGTACAGAATTCACAGAGGTTCGAGAGCACACTGGGCCAACTCCATTACTCAATTAACGTTTTCCTCGCCGTCGATGCTCTCGTCCTGTGTCGTCGAATCGTCGCCGGAGCCGCCGGTCTGCACGGAACCACGTTTGAGTCTCGAGGAAGAGCTCAGACTGCTTATTGGAGGGCCGCCGCGCCTTTAAAACAAATCATAAATCACATTAGTTGAGCGACTCGTTCGTCGTGCTCGCGAAATAAAAGTGTGCGTAATAGAAAAACGCAAACAACGCTCAGTAGTTTAACTTTAATTTAGCGTTGTTCTTTCGAATGAAGCTTTCAGGAGATTTTTGCCTCAAATAAAGAAGACTAATTATTTCGAAAAGCATATCGTGCGTTAAACCACTGATCGGCAGTATTGTGTATACACTGCGAGCCAAATGAAATAATAAGAAAGAACGCATTCACAAAACAACTGCACTCAAGGGATGCCGGGGGTAAAGTGTATGTCGTTATCACACAGGGTAGTAAACCAAGTTTGACGTTACTTTCAGGAGGGTTAGCGGTTTCAAATTAACCAAAAGAGCTCGTTCAACTCACTGTAGCACACTGGGGACTAATGGGATTGTTTCCTAGCAAAAAACTCTCAGGTAGGATACCAATCGTTTTTTCTCTCTTGACACCTACACATCATTTTCAGAAGTTGATCACTTCCTTCAAAGATAAAACAATTACTTTAATACTGCTTCATTACGTTCGCCTAAGGTTACAGATACGTACGGCCTAAAAAGCGCAACATACAAAAATATATACGTATATATTTATATAATCCAAAGGAGTAGCATCCTTTCGCGCGCGTTATATACTTAAGATCCCTCAAATCTTTTACTCCTCAGAAAAAAATTTCTCTACTTTTTAAATTCGGACTCTTTTGAATGTTTAAAAATAACGAAGGAGATTTACCTTAATTTATTCTTTAACTGCGTCAGCTCCCGTGTGAGCTCCTCGTGAGATTCTATCATGTCGTCCATGTCTCTCTGCGCTTTCCGTTTCATGGTCTTATGCCTACTGATCTCCTCCTCTGCCTCGTCTAATTGTCTCTTCAACGTCTTCATCCTGGTGTTAACCTTTTCCGCCTGCTCCTTGTATTGATCGGAATTTCGTCTTTCCTCCTCCAGTTGCAAGCTCAGGTCCTTCAGTTTCTTCTCTAGTTTACGATTGATTTTCTGCTGGGCGAATCTTTCCTTGGCTTCGATCTCGAGCTGTTCATCCAAGCTATTGATCTTCGATTCAAGCTGCTGTATCGTGGCCTTAGTCTTGGCACGTTGTGCGGTTTCTAGCTCGGTTAGCTTGGCCTTCAATTCCTTATTCTGTCTCTCCAGTAACGTCTTGTGTGACTCCAACTTTTGTGTGGTGGAACGTTCGGTGGCGAGGTCCGTTGTCAGTTGCTCAATCATGATCTGACCCTTTCTGGCACGATCCATCACGATCTCAGCGTTCGACTGCTCTTCCTCCAATTCCTCCTCCAGAGTGGCGATTCTCGCTTCTAGTCTACGTTTCTCGTCCAACATCAGAGTGCCTTTGTTAGCATTGTTGTTGACCTCCTCCTGTAGCTCATCTCGCTCATTTTCAGCAGTTCTTCTGGCACGTTCGCTACTAGCAAAGTCTTCGGTCAACTGCATCAGATCTGCTTCCAGGCTCTTAACCTTTCTCTCGTTTTCCTTGGACGCAGCCGCCAATTCGTCTCTAGCGGCTCTGGCTTCTTCGGTCTCTCTGGTGCAATCCTTGATCTGCGCTTGCAGTTTTTTCAATTGCTTGAGCGCGTCCTCCTTTACCTTATTATGCATCTCCAACTGTTGTTCAATGTCCTTGTAATCCGCTTCCATCTTCTTGCGCTGCGCGATAGCCGCGGCGCGTTGTTTTCTCTCGTCCTCAAGCTCCGCTTCAAAGTCACGCAACTGCTTCACAAGTCCTCTGCGTTTCTCTTCGGCTTGTTCCTCCTTGGTCTGTAGATCGCGCTCGAACTGAGCGCGCAACGCTTGCATGTTTACTTCCAGCCGCAGCTTGGCGTCCTCCGTGAATTGTAACTCGTCCTCCAGCTCCTCCACCTGCGATTTCTGTTCAGCCAGTTGCGACTCAAGTGCACGTTTCGCCTTCTCCAACTCGTGGACGTTCTTGTCGGCAGTACCCTGATTATTAACCAACTCGTCCAACTCAGACTGCAGTCCTCTGCGACCTCGCTCCAATTCTTCGACTTTTTCGCTAAGCTCATCCAATTCGCGAGTTAACGACAATACTCTAGTTTCCATCGCGCGCGCCTCTCGTTCTGCGACGTCCCGTTGTTCCGCGTACTGCACGGACACGGCCTTTTCTTCGGCCAACACCTTGTCGAAATTCTTTTGCTTCTTCTCCAGCTCGAGTACTTTCGCTCGTTGCGCCTCGAGCTCGATAATGCTGTCTTCCAGTTCTGCCTGGATTTTCTTCTTTGACTTGTCTAGCTTGTCGTTGGCCGCTTGTAATTCCTCGACCTGTCTCTGAAGAGCCTCAATGTCTTTCGTGCAACGTTTTCTAGCCTCTTCAAGTGCAACAGCTGCTTCCGCTTCCTCATCGGCGCGTTTTTTCGCTTCAGCCAACTGTATATTCAGACCTAATACTTGCTTGTCCAAGGCACGTTTCGCCTCCTCTTCCTCTTCGAGCTGATCGCGAAGGCTCTCCTTCTCGCTTTCCAGTGCACGTAGCTTCGAACTGAGAGCCAGTTTCTGTCGGGTCTCTTCCTCCAGCCGCTGCTGAAGTTCAGTAAACTGCGACTCACAAGTGGCTGACGCCTTGAGCGCCGCGGATGCTTTCAGCTCGGCGGTTTCAAGTTGCTGCATCACGCTTTCCGCTTCTTGTTGCAGTTTCGTCACTTTCTCGGCCAATTCCTGTTTGTTCCTCTCCACTTCGGCCAGTTTCGCATTTATCTCCACCAGTTGTTGCTCCGCCTGCTTACGACGACGATCGGATTCCTGTCTACTCGCACTGACCGATCTCAATTCCGTCGCCAGGTCGGCGTTCTCGGCTTCCAGAGTGCCCTTCGCTTTTTCCAGAGCTGCTTTCGTCTTTTTCAACGCGTCCATCTGTTCGTTCAACGCAGTTAGTTCTTGCGTGTGCTTGTGACGCATGTCAGCGAGCGTGGCTTCATGCAGCGAGGTTTCCTCCTCCAGATTCTTCTTCAGTGTCGCGAGTTCTTGCTCTCGTTTACTTCTCAATTCCTGTTGGGCCGCCGTGGTGTCCAGAGAATCTAGCAATTCGTTCTTCAATGCTTCCAATTCCTCGTTCAAGTCACGTCTCAGTTTTTCCGCTTTACCTCTAGCCGCCTTTTCGGCTTCCAAGTCTTCCTGCAGCTCGGCTAATTGTGACTCCAATTCTCTGAGAGCCTTCTGAGCTTGAGCCTTAGCGGCGCCCTCTTCGTCCATTTTCGCCATAACCTGATTGAGTTCTTCCTCGCGCTTGCCAAGTTGAAGTTGCAATTCTTCGACTTGCGTTTTCCTCTCAGCCAACTGTTCTTTCAAATCTGAGACTTCAGTCTCGACCTTCCGCTTAGACCTATCCACCTCCTGACGTTGCTGATGATCTTTGAGAAGTCTCTCTTCGAGATCGGCGATTGTCGCTTCATGCTTGGCTTTCAATTTTGAAAGATGTTTCGCTTTCTCCTCTTCCTCCGCCAAAGTTTGTGAGAGATCATTGGCTCGTTCCTCGAGCATCTTTTTCTCTTTCAGCAATTTCTGATTAGTGTCGTCCGAAAGAGCGAGATCTTCTTCTAACTTCTTGATCTTTGCATCGCATTGGACCTTCTCCAGTTGAAGTTTTTGCCTAGCAGCTTCTTCCTCCTCCAATTGCTCCTCCAAATCACTGATATTCAACTGTAATTTCTTTTTCTCTTGATTCAAACCGGCGCATCGGTCTTCCTCTTCTTCAATACGCGCTTCCAGATCGTGTAAGACTTCCTCAAGTTCTTGCTTTCTTGCGGCTAACCTCACTCTCATCTCTTCGGCCTCCGCACAGAGCTCGACTTCTGCTTGTAATTGTTCCGCCAACATAGTTTTTTCCTCGATGGCCTGCTGATATTTACGTTCGTACTCTTGAGCCGAGTGTAACTGCAGCTCCAGTTTATCGCGCACTTGTTTCAGCTCGTCCTCCTTTTGCGTGAGCTTCTCCTCTTGTTTCGTAACCTCTAGCAGAGGCTTCACTTTGGTGTAAAGCCTCCACCATTGCCAATTGCGCAACTTCAAGTAAGCCGCACAATTTCTTTGAATAATACGAATTGCATTCAATTGTTGCAGACGCTTCTGATAATTACGTCTGGCTAGGAAACCGCGACAAAAGGCTTGGAAGTTAACGATTATGTCCGTGATCTTGTAATCTCTCTCTTCTTCTAAGTGAGCCAACACACCGGCACGGAAGAAAATCTTGGATTGTCCAACACGATAAAGATTCGGATCCAATTCTAAAGCTTGAATCTGTAACGAAAAAATATGAGATTTAGCAATATGTTCCCTACTGGCATCTAATACGAGAGAGAGAGAGAGAGAGAGAGAGAGAGAGAGAGATATGTGCAATTATAAAGATATATAATCCCTCTTTTATTAATTATATACAAATTATATAATTACCATCTTTTCGCAAGCTTTCTTGCCGTCCATAAAACCCTTTGGAATGGCGTTCGGAGTAAGTAGCTCATAACGCTGTCTGAACTCTTGGAACGGAATTCTGTTGGGAAAACCTTGCCGGCAAATACGAATGCCTTCCAACACTCCGTTACATCGCAGTTGATCCAACACCAGCGGCGCGTCGATCTTACCGGCTCTCTTCTCGTGATTCGGTATGATACACCGGACAAAATTTGGATTCGTGTTTCGCAGCGTCACCATTAGTTTGGCTAACTGTTCTTTGTACAACTGCGAAACCGTTCTAAACATGCCTTTCCTGGTTCTCGCACCGAACTGGGTGTCTGTGAGCGCCTGTTGCGCCATGCCCACGATTTCTGCGTCTTTCCAAATGTGGCACACGAACGGATCCTGTGAAGCTTGCAGTAGACTTACAACGTTCTCGTTCAACGGATCCATGTTCTTCATTAGCCATTTGGCGGCGGAATAGTCCACCTTTCCGGCATAGTGAATGATGGCGAAGTCGGCCACACCGCGGAAGTCGGTCTTCATGAACTTCGGATGCACGCTGTGCGCGCCTACCAGCTTCTCCACGAACGTCTTGTCTGTGGCCTTGGGGAACCAGCACTCCTCGTCCAATAGTGCCATTATGCCCATAGGTTTGTCAATCAGGTCGATCGTAGGTTGTAGATCAAGCCCAAAATCAATGAACTTCCACTCGATGCCTTCTCGCTGATACTCCTCCTGCTCAAGAATGAACATCGTATGGTTGAACAACTGCTGCAGCTTCTCGTTCGTGTAATTAATGCAGAGCTGCTCGAAAGAGTTCAATTCGAATATCTCGAAACCAGCCATGTCCAGGATACCGATAAAGCTGGCACCTTGTCGCTTCGTTCTATCCAGCGATCTGTTGATTCTGTTCACTAGCCAGCGGAACATTCTCTCGTAACATGCCTTTGATATCGCTTCCACGGCAAACTCCACCTGCTCCTTCGTTTGCGCTTTCGTCACGAAGTCGCGACCGACCTTGATGCGCGGCTTCAAGAAGGCCTTTGTCATTTCGGTCACGCTTAGACCTAGCAGATGCGAGATCTTTTGGGCCACCGTATTGTCCGGTAGAGTCGCTTGATCGGAATTACGTTCTTGGCGGAACTGCATCGAGCCGAACAGCATAACGGCGGAAACAATACGAAAGATGGATGAGAAATCCTCATTAGTCATACCCATTATATGCATCGATTTCACAGTGGAGAAAAATTCGGCAGAATCGTCGACACCGGGCACCGGTAAGGCTCCATTCGACAAGAAAGGATAGTGCTTCGGATCTTCCAGTATAAATTCCTCTGAAACGGCGGACGTCGCAGTTAGAGACATCGAATGCATAAATAATCTAACGAGATCCGTAGGACACGCTATGACTTACTTTTCTGCTCCGGCGAGGCGCCTGCCAGCAGCTGGTAAAATATGTGGAAGGTCCTTTCATCTTTCGCTTGCCGAATAGCTCTCGACTTTTCCAAAAGGTATGTCTCGATGTTTGCGCCGGCTATGTAACCGGATGCGTCGAAATTTATTCTGATAAATTTACCCTGCAACACATTCGTCACATATTACTATAATAATAGTAATAGGTCTGTTCTTTTCAGCTACACTGTTGTACTGGTGCAATAAGTTAGAATGAGAAATATATTTTATTTCACTTTAGCTTATTGCACCAGTGCAGCTGAAAAGAACAGATCGTATATAAAGTGATAAAAAAAAGTGTCAAAAAGAAGTATATAAAGTAAATCTCTACTTAATAAAGAGTCGTCGATTTCACTTACAAAGCGAGACGAGTTGTCATTCTTCACGGTCTTTGCATTACCAAATGCTTCCAAAATTGGATTTGCCTGGAGAAGTTGTTGCTCGAGCTCTCCCTATGATAAAACAATTTCAACAATTAATAAAGAACACTGTCAGACATATTTATCTTTCGACATAGATTATGAAAATGTGGTATTAAGCAATAAAGTAAATGATTTGTCGCGTACGTTAAGGAATAATGCGATGATGTAAGAAAACTTGTTTTCTCCGATACAAAGCGGATGATATCAACAAACCCAATTCTTTCGGATTTCTCCAAAAAGAAATATTTAAATACTAAAAAAATATTATGTTATGGCACAAACACAACAAAAATTATTGACACACGCAAGTGTTTAAGCAACAAGTGCTCAATATGATAATTTTGGATAGTTTAAAAACATCAAAAACATTAAAATTATTAGTTATAATTTTTTAAATAAATATATAAAATATTATGTTATTAAAATGTTACAAAATAAATATTAAACTATAATATCAATAAAATACGCTTTAAAATATCAAATGGAACATAAAATATAATTAATAAATGGAACATAAATATTTTGCAGGAAATATAGAAGTGTAACGTTGATTTTGACATCGTACAGGTGCGGCAGCGCAAATAAAAAAACAGCGATATATTATAATAATGGCATAATAATTACTATTTAAAAATAGGTATCTAAGACGTAAAAGCATAAAAGAGACATCGAAGCATAACTGGTTGTTTTGTAATACCCGTCATTTAAATGCGGAAACATAAACTAATTCGGTCCGTCCATCTCGAGGGAACGTAATTTGCGTGAAAACTTTCGTCCAAAAGGGTTTTCTATAGCAAACTGCTCTTATGCAAAAGCTATAAAGAACAAGCGCGATTGTGTTAGTAAAAGAAACGTTTATGGCACGAACGTAGAACATTCGTCTTTTTCTATTTCCGAGTGTCAGAATGTTACTTAGAAATTTTTAATGACCTCCTCCGTCGAAATTATAAATCTACATACAGACGTGATAACGAAATTTTTCACGCATCCCTAGCTCAGCATCGTACAACAACGCATTATGATTATAAAGCGTGTATTTTGCAAATGTCAAGCGTATCAAAGATCGATCTCTAACTTTCGCGGCTTGTTAAACTGCGGCTTCTCGAAGGGGGTTGGGGGTTGAAAAGGAAACAACGAATGACAATCGACGACAAAGCAGGTTAAAGAGGGGAAAAGAACACTTATCACGACACCACACCAGTGTTAGTCCTGTTTCCTCCCACTTTCTTTCTCCTTTTTTCACGTTAATTACCGCAAACTTTTCCGTGACATTCCCAGATCCCTGGATCCGCAAGCAGCAGGAAAGAAAAAGGCAAAGGGGAATATCTGTTAGTCACGAGAACAATGAGGCGTAAACATTTTATGACGATTTGTCTTTCTCAGGTCGGCTTAACAATGCGAAAAATTCTAAAGTAATATCTACGCGCGGGAGACGCCTGCGTTATCTCATTATCATATTCATTGTCATGTACCCACAAAATTAAGCGCAAAACTCGTCTATAAGGTATAATGCAAATTTTTTATCTTCTCGGGAATATATCGCAACTTAATGCTGAACACGCGTATCATGCTTTCTCGAAAATGACGCTTCCTTCGTGTTTTACATAAATTTATTGCAGTAATAAATTCCAGATATAAATATCAGATAGATATTACTGTTTGTATGTTTAAACAAAAAATGATTCATAATTATATGACTCACACATGTAAAAATGTTAACCTATGTAATTACATAAATAATTATGTAAATATAATTCGATTATTATACATTCTTTCATCACGATCGTTCTTAAGATTGCAATGTTCTTCCTTTCACGCAACGATATATCCAGATATTTCTCTCTCTCTCTCTCTCTCTCTCTCTCTCTCTCTCTCTCTCTCTCTCTCTCTCGATACATGCGCCAATGAATACGATTTGGAAATCAAAAGCGTCTGTTAGTAATGGGAGGGCAAGCAGGAAAATAATGCGAGAACTCCGAACCGCAGGCGTCATTAGTCGCCTGTGCCGGGCCTCTGTTTTTTTCGTTGACTTACTATGATTAATGCCGGGCTCGGAGTCTAGGTGGGCGGCCGCCAAAAGTCAGCACCGAAAATAAAAGAATTTTCTGCATTAGATCAGAATCGACTATGGGCTCTCAAATTGCGCGTTTCATCCTTGGTCCGTGCGATTCTTTTACATTTGTGCACTCGACGACAGAAGGACCGACCGACCAATGGTCGAACCAAGTGTACGCACACAAGTACAAACGAATTTTAACCCGCGATGAAAACATAGCGAACCGATATTTACTATTATCCAGTTTTGTTTTGATTTGAATGAAATGCATTAGCTGCCAGATTTATATTAGACGCACATTTCACTTTCGGTGCAAATAGCGAGTATTTAATAGTTGAGAGATTATTTTTTATTCCTTTACGTATAATTTTTGATAAAGTTGAGATTGGTTTCGTGTCACTTATTACCAAAAATGCGAAAGTAGATAACACTAAATATCGAAGAGATATCCGATCAATTGATTTCACATAAATTTCATTTTAATTGAAATTCGATTTGGAGCTTAATTGCCAATTTATTTACGACATCTCGTATACTCGGGAGACACAGACAGTCCGCCCCGATCGCGTTTAAAACATTCGTAATGACGAGTCGACGGAACAAGCGAGCTCATTTGCTCTTGTGCATGCGAAACGATCAGGAATGTGCTGGCTGTGAACAAAAGTAAGACGATAATGCAGCCGATGCGATAGCATGCAGTCGTACCGTAGGCGAGTGTTCTCGTTTTACAGAGAGACTCCTTTTTACACATACACTTTTATGTATAAATGTGCCGTGCAATCGACGGTCAAGAAGGACGGTTAAGAAGAAATCTGATACGCCGAGGAAGGTCAGATCTTCTTGAGATTTGTGCGTGCACGACCGAGTTCAACGAGACGTGTAATTCTTAATGGGCGACTTTAGTAAATCTGCTTAATATCGGTATCGTCAAAAGACTAACCAAATATGGTTTAAATCAGGATACAATGAATCTCACTAATAAGTCATCTCACCGAACTCGAGTGAGTTTCATTGACATCCGTTAACTTGAATTTTTATATCGTTTGTTTTTTTTTTAATTCTAAAAATGGAAGATTTGTATTGACAGAAATATTTGAATAGCCTATGAGGAGCTAAGCACGGATGCTTAGTGCCATTAGATATTAATACTACTTTAATAATATTAATATGATAGTGGGAGGATAATATGTCCAGCATATCAAACACACGTATCGAAATTTTCTCGATCATCGTACGCGAATCAACCTTCCACACTTAGACCGATCCTTGAGTCCCAAACTTTATATATATTTATATTCTCAAAACCCCCAATTAAACCGATGACTCAAATAGATTCATTTTATATGTTGCGAAAAAACTGCCTCCACCAGAACCTCCTTATAATCCATTCAAATATTTCTGTTAGTTATTCAAGGAACTTTCTATAATTTCGATTTGTATTGATACCTTTTTTTCCTTTAATACATCAGAAGCCAAACGCGACAATTATAAATTACTCCAAAATTAGAAATCGTCATTAAAATTTTATGCTAGAAAAGATTTGCTCGAAATTTACATGAGAATAAGATTACCTATTACCGACTATATTCCACATGTTAATTATTTACTACGACTTTACTTCGATCTATACCAGAACTTATTATGCAAAGTATTAGATACGTGCCATGTACAAAGTGTCCTACGAATCACGACTCTAATTCTAATAATGTATTTCTCGAGTAATTTGAAATCGATTTCTTTTAGCAAAAATATCGAGGGATACTATCATTTTTCCCCGTCTTTCGTAACTCGTATACAGGTGCCTCGAAATTTTTGGAAATAAAACAAAAATTCGGTGGAAAATCCGTCATTAAAATTGAAGTCGCAAATTGTAGAACAGGCTCTATATGTGTACTCTTATTACATATCTACATGCTGTATATACATATGTGCCGTGACAAAAATCGGGCAGATAACTCGAGAATTAATCGCGTCGACTGAGAAACGCAATCGCGACAAACCACGATAATAACAATCAATCATAGAGTGTTGCAACGGAATTCATTTATTTCTATCACATTTCTCTCCCACTTGTGGATATTAAAATCTAAAGTGACGATTATTAAACGACAAAAATGCAAAGATTGCGAGAAATAAGAGTTTATTCAATCGGCCCCTCCGATTTTTCGAGTCATCAGGTCATTTCCGCCATTTCTTCATAATTTTAATTTCTTTCCGATATGTCTTTTTCCCATCGTCTAACCTGATGTGCTTAGATCCTATGCTTGCGGGATGAGTCACACGCGAGCAAGTCGGCTCGCGTGACTCAAGAGAATCAGAAAGAGTCTCGGTCCGATAAGTGGATCATTTGTCTGGAAAAGGAGAGGTCCTTCAGAGAGCACGATGCACACGTCTCTCTCTCTCTCTCTCTCTCTCTCTCTCTCTTTCTTCTTCTTCCTCTCCCTGGCTTGAAACTATCGCGAATGTACGCGACGCAATACAAATCGATTGGGCTTAATCAGCGTATAAACAAGCGTCCATCGTAGAGTCGTAACGCGAGTGCGACTTATGGTAATCGAAAATGTGTTAAGGCTCTTTCGCAGTAACCTTCTGTCAAGTAGAAGGGGGAGTCGCGAATCCTCGAAAGGAGTAATGGTCTCCTTTGCAGAACGTTCTCTGCAATGTCCTCCCTTCTCTTCCGTTTTCGGCCTTTCCAGATGTGTGGGGGAGAAGCGAGATTGTTCATCTGTACGCACTCGGAACTCAAACGAAGTAGATGAGAACTCTCTGAACCATCATGTATTCCCGAAACTATTCCGTGGGTATTACCATAAGTACCGCCACTTATTAACGCGAACCCTCACCGTGTATCATCTCTCTAATGGTCTCGCGAGGGACTAAATTACATTATTTACATTCAACATATGGTCCCTGTTGTTTCTTCTTAAAATTTTATCTGATTCATGGCCGCTAAAATTAACCGCGTGACTTATAAAGTTTACGTACGTGGTTACAAAGGCTCGTAATGGTCAGAACGCGAAGAGAAGAAGCCTGGAAAGTGGATGAGCGTTACCATCTGAAAGTTTTCTCCACATTTTTTCCCCAAGTTCTGCGTTTCCTTTTATCCAAACTTCTGCGCAATTTGTGATTCGCAAAAAATGGCACGTTTTTTCGATTTATTAATAACGTTGCGCTTCGCGCGATGCTTTGGATTATACTCTTCGAGTATCCCAGCGAAACGCGCGAGAACAAAGAAGCCACTGTACACAAACCTGTACTACAGAGGCTCTCAAACCAATCTCGCGTTTTCTCCTCGACAAATATTTAAAAAAATTATTACATCTCTTTTCCATCCAAAAATACTTTAAATGAGTTTCGCGTATCTTGTGCGGTTCCTTGTCATAGATTAAGAAGAAATTCCTTTTAAAACGAATATGGAATTTGTGGTCACACTGGTGAACTGTGATAAGGACAATGTCGATATCGAGGTTTCGTTTCCGGCGACGGAAGCGAGCAAAAGCAGTAACGAGGTTTCCTGAGTTTCGGGAAAATGGACGCAATTGTAGTGAACGCGACGACTTTATTAGGTAAGATTTTGACCTTTGTAGCGGTAATAGTTTGTATGCTCATTAAGCAAGTACGATTATGTAGTTAAATTTATAGTGCCACGTACAGCTATTCGACTTTACAAATTTTTTACATAGCTTTTTGGATATAGAAGTGAATACTACAAAAATTTACAACTGTACTGCGTGTTTAAAAAAAAATTGTAGTGTTCTTCTATTAAAATATCTTTTCAACGTAATTCGTAGAATAATAACACGCATAATGTAGTTTTAGAATTTCGGTAGAATTTGCCACACATACCGGTCAACGCTAATCCAGGATATAGACAACTTATCCAGGGTATAACTTCATCTTTTTTATAAATATTATAAAAAATATAAAATAAATCCATAAGCTAAAATTGCTCGATATATCAATGGTCAAAATGCAATATTACCTTCCGCAAAGCACTCGCGATATATCACGAAGATTCCACTTTCTAATAGATCTGAGATATCACGTATCTCCGGAGACGAAGTCGCTCGTGAGCTTTAGGAAACTGTCGAGTAACAGAGAGGAAAGTATTCGCGTTTACGAGGTTTACAAGGAACGAGATTTCCTCCGGAGTGTATCGAGAGGTTAAATGGCTTGTATAAACCGCGGCGGCGGCTCAATTCATCGCGGACGCGTGTCTTCGTCGAGCGAGCGCGTGCGTGAAATACAATGGATTCACCGTGGCGGAAACCGCCAGCCGAGCCTAATCGACGAGCGTGCTGACTTACCGCGTTCGACTTGGGTTTCGAGGCGGCCACATAGGCCAAGTACTGAATCACTTTCTTCGTGTTCTCGGTCTTGCCAGCGCCGGACTCACCGGTGCAGAGAATCGACTGGTCCTCGCGATCTGCAATGAGCACAGAATATTAGCAATCGTGATTTACTGCAATGGTTTATAGACTGTAGCATTTTAACATAATGAGATATTAACATTATATTCGCTATAGCAATTCGCTATATGACGTTAATATACCTATTCTTTCGGTATATTTAATCGTAACAGTAGATTTTGTAAAATGTTATCTTGGCATTTTACACGAAGCGTGTACAGCATATGTTAATTGCATTACCATACTTTAATTATTAGAGAACACAATATTCACGGATGAGCTCAGAGAGTTTTCATATTTTAAAACACCTTCACAAATGTACGTGTTATAATTTCTATGATCAAACCTGAAGAGAGATGTGCATGCTGGTCCTTTTTTTTTCTACCGTGACACACATATAGCATATTCAAATGTTCGAGGCAAGAAGACCTTTAAACGCCTTTAAACGCATCGACTTCGCACAACAACGAGTAGTATATCAGCTAATAGAAATTTCTAATTGCCTTTACCTTGCAGCATAGAGCGATAAGCCGTATCAGTAATGGCGAATACGTGCGGCGGCACTTCATGTCTCTTGATGCCTTTATACCTCTCCATGATCTTTTCTGTGTATATCGGCAATCTCTTGTAGGGGTTCACCACGACGCAGAAGAGGCCGGAGTACGTCTGTAACAAAACGGTTTCGATTATCGACTGTCACTGTGTGTGTCGGACACGTTCTCTATAATGTCAATATCAAGAGAAAAATCTACAAATGGTTAGGTTGACTAGCTTCTCGTCCAGACATTCCCCTGCCGCGTTATTCGCTAACAACTAATCATCGATCCGATAGCTTCACGTGTGCCTGCGCAATCGCATCATTCCGAGTGTTTTCTTCAGCAAATATTCGCATAGCGAGAATTCGCGCTCCTTGCACTATGACCTAATTGTTTCCGAAAGCATTGTTTCCGCCGGCACACTCTGATGGCCATTCCGAGAATTCTCTCGCGATAGCACGAGAAAGAAGCGGAGTATGAACGTGCCGTAAAGCTCGATGGAATGTCAGATCAATGACGTCACGTTCACCATGCCGGCAAGCAGGAGCGAGCGAGCGAGAGAGCGAAGTAAGAGAAAGAGATCGATAACACTTCTCGTTCGGCCGCTCTCCGCGTCTTCTACCGCCGCTCTCCTCCCTTTCTCGGCCGTTCGGTCGTTCTCTCGCATGTCGGCACACGTTTTCTCCGATACGCATGTGCATACGGGCCGTGGAGTGCTAACGCGGTGCGATCGGTAGTCCTGAAACCGAGAGACTTGACTCTCGCTCTATCCTCACGAAACGAGCCACCCGAGTCAGCCATTCCGAGGAGTTGAATCGAATTTATTCGAACGGTGGGACCGACTGTAAAAAAAAATGTCAAAAGTGACTCGATATTCGCTGATGTCGATACCTGTGATCGTACCTGCGAAAATATTCTGGCACGGTACGACCAAACTGATTTGGGTCCTCACCAAATACGAGAGTGAACTCTGTTTCGTCTGTGTGCTTTAAAGATCAAGTTACAGCTGGTCTCAATACTGAGTGCTTACATTCGCTCGCGTCCGTCGCTAAATCAGTTCAGCTCTTCCAAATCAGTTATTTCTTTCTCTTAGTTTCAGACGGATAATTGTAGGTATAATATAGAACACGTGGGTGGATTTCCAAGAGCGGAAGTATTTCGCTGTAACGCGAAAAGAGCGTTCTGTGCTGCGAGGTCAAGTTACAGCTGGTCTCAATAATGAACGCTTACATTTGCTCGCGTCCGTCGCTGAATTGTCTTTCAGGTTTCTCAAATCAGTTATTTCTTTCCCTTCGTCCCTCAAACGGATGATTGCAGGAGGTGCAATATGGAACACGTGGGCGGGTTTCCAGGAGCGGAAGTATTTGCTGTAACGCGAAAAGAGCGTTCTGCGCGTCATTGCTGCATGAGCTGCGTGCTCTCTGACAGGCAAATAAATGATGCGTCGCGTTTACAGCGAGACAGATAGACTCCTACGCTAATTAGCGAAGGGATGCTTAATCTCCAGTGCAATATCGAAGCGGAGCAAAGTTATTTAACCTTTTATCAGTGGGGAGCGCATGAAAGCGCACACGCGAGCGCGCCGTACGAAGCGCACGAACACAGTATCTCCAAAGACCTCTTTATAATTCGCGTCAGGATCCGGGACAGAATTCTACTTGCAATTTCTCGTATGCCGCATAATACCGGAAACATTCGAAACTTCAGACGCACACGCGAACGTCTGTAAATGTAATATCTTGGGCTAATAATACGAGCCAGTCGTAAGATATAGTTTTCGCGTAATTAATTTTTTCTTTCGGAAGGTTAATAACATCTTGCAAAAAAATTAATTACGCAAAAACTATATCCTACGATTAGGTTCTTACTGGCCCAAGACATCACATTTTAGTTTGATATTATACAAAGCCTCATTTCTAACGTTTGTCTGCAAATGTACTTTCGATACGTCTTGTTCTCGCAGGTAGAACTCCGTCGCGCACTCCGCCGAGAGTAAATTACCGTCGGCGTCGAAAGCGGGCTTAATTATGCGCATCGTGCGCGTATTACAGATAATTCTCACCTACGCGTGAGAGACGTGAATTATCGCTGTTTATACGCGTAAACGCTCAACATTGATATCGTTGCAACAGTTGCAGGCAATACAACTCGCGGTCCATCCATCCATCCATCCATCCATCCATCTACTTATCTATCCATACGATGACGGGAGAGACCGCGTAGGTGTCGTAAAAATGTACGCTCCTTGCCTCTTTATCTGCCCGCCATTAAACGCTGGCGCACGATGACGCGCGCTTAATTGCGCGAGTCCACTCGAATTATTCACATCGTCATTAGACCGCTGGACAATTACTCAGGGGGGTCATTTAGCCGCGCCTGCCTATCGGGTCCCAATCTGGACGCGTTCGCGGCCCCGGCCGGCATGTCCGCCGCATTTTTTCGACGTTATACCATCGTCGTGGTTCCTGTCGTCGTTCCGCGTGCTGCGCCCTTCGTGCGTATTTGTATACCTGCTTTCAAAGATACTTATTGAGTTAGTTTTCCTATAAGCAAAAAACAAATTGCAAATTTAGTTGCAAAATTAAATGCTAATTGCTACGTGTTCATTAAGTGCAGAAATTCAAAATAAAATGCTCGAAAACTTTGCAAAAATATTAATCACATTAAAAGATTTTCGTTATTACACGAGTATTTTGATGTGTGTAATGATGTGTGTAATATGTGACAACACCTAATTTATATATAATTTTTTAAATTTAAATATAACTTTCTTCTCGCGTACATGACGCGGCAAAGTGATGCTAATTTTGTACAATTGAGCGAGAGCTGCATTGAGAAACAAATGCTTTGTATTGCTTGGTGATGCTTGGTATGGTAAACTATAATAACATAGAGAAATAATTACTATAAATTATGGTCAAAAACTATCCTTTTTATTAAATTCCACTATAACGTTAATAACCTTATATGCAAATTACTACTACTATTTTCGTGTTAGAACAACCAAAAAATAACTGTAATTTTAGTTAGATTAACCTTTTTTTGTCGATGTAAGTGAACGTGAAGGTAACTTCCTGTACTGTGAATGCAATTTTTGCTAAACTGTTTGAACATCTAATATCAGATTTCAGCACTTTACTAGTAACTAATTAGCACTAAACTTTGCAATATAAATAAAAAATTGTTTTTCACTGATAAGAGACTAACTTAATCGGAATCTCTCAAAGGTCATCACAACGAATCATCTGCTTGAATTGCCTCCAAGAGCCATCAGAGAACTGCCTACAGCGTGATTCACACATTCGCTCTCGCTTTCCCCGGGTCTCTCGCGGACTTACTCGTGGCTTTACTCGCGTCACGCTTCGTGGAAGAAGCCACCCGGAACCGGTACCCAGAGTTTATTTATTCTCTACGCGGTGTAACTTCCACCGTTAATTCGACGTATACTTTTGCAACTTTCCCCATTACGGATCTCGTCGTGTCGACGAACCAAGTTTTCCCCCCGAGCCGACGTTTTTCGTGACTTACTCACGCGTGTCATCGAAAGGTGAGCACCGCCAAGGAGGTTTTCCCGATCTCGCGTAACTTTATACTTGCTCGCATGCGTTATCGAGAAGTAAACGCTTTGAGGAAAAACAACGAATGAAGAAATGCGCAGAATTTCCATCAGGCAAAATTAATTGCCGCTTGATTCATTCCGTTATTATTCCCTTGCGATTCAGCTTATTGAACGGAAAGAACAAAAGCCGCGGTTGCTTCGATTCATTTTAAATAAATTTGTAAGAACGACGCGCGTCGAAAGAGATCGAGCGACTTCCTTATGGTTCTATCGCGGCGTTTTGTCATCGCTGCAACGATGTGATTTATCGATAATGATGGGTATCATATAAGATGGGTCAAAATGTTTCGAATACGTCGCATTTCTACGCTGGATATTTCCACGGTGGCCTTAACATCACTTTATTTCCGTTACGTGACTTCATTATGTGGCTCATTCGTTTGAATGATCGATTTCAATGTACTAGGTGCGGTGTGCGATTCGTTTGCAACTTTGCAGTGTGTATTTTAGGAGCATATCACCTGATGAATGTGAGAATAAATTTCCAATGCATGGTGCATCGAATATCGCTAAGGTATACGTTGGAAGAATTAAAAAGAACACACACCAGTTATTCAAGGAACTGCACTACAGATCGTTCTTTGATCTGCCAATCGTATTTTTTATTAACTGTTCTAGTGTGTCATCGAGAAATGAGCACTTTGAGGAATCTTAACTAGGAATGTTTGATTCGTGTCATAGGAATGTATAATTTTCCTCCTTGACATCGTTAGGCGAAGTATCGCCTATGACTCGATCACGTTGAACAGAAATTTGAGCGACTCGCCCTATTTGCCGCGCGTGCAAAATCATTGAGTCTTGATCCTGACGCGTGAATTTGCGCACGTCGTGCGCTTTTCACGAAATTTTTTCGCGAACCGAGAGAAGAAGAGAGAGAGAGAGAGAGAGAGAGAGAGAGAGAGAGAGAGAGAGAGAGAGAGAGA